GGGTGGCAGGGCTTGTGAAAGCTGACTAGACTGGAAGGAACATTTTGGTTTTTGGTTTTTCTCCGGTACCGGGAACCGAACTCACGACCTTGCGCTTGCCAGGCAGGCGCTTTTGCCGCTGAGCTAAGTCCCCAGCCCCTGGAAGGAACATTTTGGTGGACAGAAGAAAGCAGGGCTTGTGAAAGCGGACTAGACTGCGAGGAACATTTTGTTGGGCAGAAGAGGTGAAGGGGTAAGGTTATTTCTTTCTTTATTTATATTCAGTCAATGATTATAGAGACACTAGAATTCTTTACATTTGAACCAATTAGATCCTTTCAGTGATCTAGGAGAGAGCTACAAATACAACCCCAGTTTTGTAGATGAGGAAACTCAGGCAAGGAGAGGTGAAGTAACTTGCCTGAGGTCACAGCTAGTGTCTGACCTGTCTACAGAATTCGGCCCTTCCTTGGGGCTCAACGCAGACCTGGAGAAAGATGAGCCCCTGTTGCTTCCCTGCCTCTCATTGCATGAGCACGGGACCCACAGCCTCTCCTGAGCCCTCCTGCTGCCACAGAGGGGAGGGGAGAGGCGCAGATCACGGCTGGAGTGTGTTCAAGGCTGGCAGGTGTGGCTCTGGCTCGATGCCTTGGAAGCCCAGATCTAATTCTTCATGGAGATGCCCATTCATACTCTAAACATAGTAAGGAAGGGTTGTTTTTGTATTTGTTTGCTTGTTTTTAGTGGTATGGGAGAATTGGACTGTGGACCTTTGCATGGAGCTACGTTCCTAGCCCTATCTATCTATCTATCTATCTATCTATCTATCTATCTATCTATCTATCTATTTTTGAGACAGGTTCTAAGCCACTAAGCTGTCTAGGTTGGTCTCAAACTCATGATCCTGCTGCCTCAGCTTTCCAGACTGCTGGGATTACAGGTGTGTACCACCGTGCCTGGCTGTAGCCCAGGGTTTTAGAGTCAGATAGACCTGGGAGCTAGTCCTAGCTTTGTCATTGCCTTGGGCGTGTTATTCTGCCATTCAGAATTAGTTTCCTCTAGTGTAACAGTATACACAGCTACTGGGTACCCCGAGATGTATGCCGGTTAGCAGAGATGTTTGCATAAAGTGTACATCACCGTACCTCCTGCGGTTGGTGTCAACATTACTAGCTTACCTTCTCCTCTAAGTGACTTAATGTAAATGTATTGTGGCCCAAATACCATCTGGTGCCCTCTTGCCTGTTTGACACCAGCATTATAAATGGCTCAGGTCCCTGCCAATTCCGTAGTCTAGGAAAAGCAAGCCTTCCCCTCAATTTTTCCTCATTCCAGTAGGCTCATGCTCTGACCCCTACATTCCCACTAAGTCTCTGTTTCACCCAGCATCCATTTACCAACTTTGCTAGTTGGTATAAAATAGCCACTCACAGGAGGTGGATTCATGAAGTGAGCGTGGCCTGCCTGCCAGTTGGCAGCGTGAGGGCACATGGCTTTCCAGCGGTGTCCCTGTGACCTTGGGGTCCTTCAGCATTAGCCTGCATCAGAATCACCTGGAAGCCCTGTTAAAACAGGTACCAGAGTTTCTGATCAGCAGACCTGGGCTGGGCCCAAGAATCTGCATTTCTGTCAGTTCCTAGGTGATTCTGATTCTGCTGGAGTAGGAGACAGACTCTGAGACCTGCTGCTTTTACCATTCTGCTTGCTTCTGCCCCTCCAGTTCCCCCCACTTGTCTCTTACACAGCTCTCCCCAGCTTCCATTTGCAAACTCTCTGCCCAGATCAATCCTGGAGCTTGTTTTATAGGATTCTGCCTTTGAGGGGACAGCTAGGATTTAAAAAATCCATAAGGTATAACTTTGTTTCTGTGTTTTGGTGCCTTCCCTGGCTGCAGCTGGCTCTCTGCTGTGGTCTCTACTGCAGGCAGTAGGGTGGGGAAGGTGAATCAGGACTCAGGGTCTGCGTGTGGACCCCGACCTGGTGGAGTCCCAGTCTATACAATATCATGCTTCTCTGCGGTGAGGCCGGGGCTAATCAGCAGCAAGTTCTGGGGATGGGATGGGACTGGGGCTGGGGGCTGGGCTGTTGGGCCGCAGCTGTGGCTCCAAATTGCTGTGAGGCCCACTGCCTGGTCCATGCTCCGGTGGGGACTGACATCAAACAAATGGGCTCTGATGCATTAAGTGGGGAGGGGGCTAGTGGAATGGTCCCCCATGTCCCTGCACTGCATATAATGTGGAAGAGCGAGGCTGCCTTGATGAGGGGGGTTCTAATGAAGTCCCCATCCCAGCCCTTTGGGGGCAGCTGGGCAGAGCGGGTACAGCCTTCGCTCTTAATAAAGATTGGAAGATGACTTGTCCCCTCCCCACTGAGTCTGTTAATCCAGCTCCAAGCTGGAGATTAGCATTTCTAATGGGCTGGGAGGCACAGCCTTCAGGAGACAGGGATGAGGGATGACAGATATTCCGGGGGTCCCTGGGGCCCTGAAGAGAGCGGTTGCTTTGTTTGGCCTCCGTTGAATTGAGGTGGGCTTTCTTCAAACAAGATACTTCATTTCCACTCTGTCCCCTTAGTGAAGGCTCTTGTTCTAAAGGCTTTGTTCATTGAACCCCAAAATGTCATATACATGCTAAATGTCCAAATATCCAATATCTACAGCGGATGATACAAAGAACTTGAATTCACCCAGCTACTTCTTTCAAAGGAATGGCTGTCTCATTCATTCATGGTCATTCATTTTTGTCTGTGGCACTAGCCGTGGTAGGCATTGGATTGTGGAAGCAGAGGTGAAAAAAAAAAAAAGATTTCTTATACTCAGGATATTCAAAATCTAGTGAAAGAAATAGTAAGTACTGTATGCCAAACCCTATGATGTATGCTCTACAGGATCTAAACCAGACCACAAAGGTGTGAGGACAGAAGGGTGTCAGGGGAGATCTCCTGAGACAGTATCACCTGAGCAGATTGTTAAAGTGTGGCAAGTCAGGTGAGTTACACAACTGTAGTTCCAGCTGCCTGGGAGACTGGAACTACACCCAGGAGTTTGACACTGGCCTGGCCACATAGTGTGACCCTGTCTCAACAGAGCAAAACAAAGGAAAACAACCAAAACAAAACAATCCAGAAAGAAATGTGACTCAGCATATGGGCCACAACCTCCCTTCAAGGAGTATGTGGAGAGACAGGGGCTTGGAGGGGCTTAGAAATGAAAAGAGACAAGAGTCTGAAATCAGTGTTGCAAGTTTTATGAGCATCAACTCCAATAATTTAGAATCGTCCAGGAGATGGGGTGTGGGAAGTCAAGGTGAGGAGTCCAAGCAGACCAAACTTTAGGGCATAATTTATTCACTGAACCCACATTTATTGAGTCCTTTGCCCGGGATATGCTTGCATCACTTTGCCTTCCCTATCTCCCAGGGAAGACGGAGCTTCCTGAGGACTGGACGCTCTCCTGTGTCTTACACCATTAACTGGGCCTGACTGGGTGATGGGCACATGCTTTTGAACTGACAGCCAATATGGGAAGCACAAGGAGTTTCTCCCTTTCAGAGGGAGCTGGAAATGGCTAGAATTTAAGGTACGGGGTGGGAGGCAGGGAGGAGTGACAAATGAGGCCAGAGAGGATTGGGTCATAGCACCAAAATTTAACATGCCAAACCAAGGAGTTTAGCTTTCGTCCTGTTGGAGTAAGTGAATAGAACATGTGATAGTACTTTAGAAGATCGCTGTGGCTACAGTTTTGTGGGGAAGTAGTCAATATAGGAGGCAGGGGCACTGTTACTGAGGGCGAGACAGTGCACTTGAAGAGATTTCAGACCCAGCCCGTGAACTTGAGAGGGAAGAGAAAGGCTCTTCCTCATATTCCAGGCAGTCAACAGAGGTTCCGAGGGGCTGTGGGATGCCCCCCATGGGTTACCCAACAGTTCAGCAGGACATAGACCTGGAAACAAAGGCCTCACTTGAATCTAATGAAAGGAGAATTCCTCAAGCCAGTGATGTGTCTTGAGGACTTTTGAAGAGAGAGTAAACAGAGAGAGTTGGAGAGTTACTTGGTGAGTCTTTATCCAAGAGAGTTGGGTCTGCATTTCCTTTTGCCCTGATTGCCCAGTACAGCCCAGGCCCTGCCTTCTCTGCAACCCCCAGACCCTCAGCACTGGGAGGGAGGTGACAGCACCTGGGTCTCTCTGCAATGATCCTACATGGGTGATGCTCTTGGAGCACCCCTCAGTGAGACGTGGCATCATGACAGGCCAAAGTGTCAAGACAGGAGGCAGGCGGATGCTGAGGACCGTCCCCCTTCCCACAGCTCCCCGTCTCTGCTGTCACTGTCTGGTTGTTGGCTGAGGTCTCTTTGAGTCTATGAAAATGGGTTTCGGTTTGTAGTAAGCAGTTGTACTCAGTCTTTCAAGAATATTAAAGGTCTGTTCTGTGCCAGGGACAATGCTGGGCAGACCCTGGTGCTCTCCCACTCCAGGGTAAGGGGTGCAAAGAGGAGAGGCCAGGAGACAGTGCACCCTGCCATTCTCTCTCCTCCCAACTGCCCAGCACGGCCCTTTGGAAACAGTGTGTGCACACACAGGCATCTTAATCCGGGTGTGTCTCCCCGATGTACACACTCCTATGCCAACCACTCTATGTTTGAAACAAAAATCGTGGCCAGGTGTGGTGGCACATGCCTGTAATCCCAGCACTCGGGAGGCTGAGGCAGGAGGATCGTTGCAAGTTCAAGGCCAGCCTGGGCTACAAAGTGAGTTCAAGACCAGCCTGAACTGCATAGTGAGACCCTCTCTAAAAAAAAAAAAAGACCAAAAAACCCCCCAAAAACATAAAACAAAACAAAAAAAAAATCGTGTAAATTGGTTTTCCAAAATAAGACCAACTTCTAGATAGGGGCTGGTACAATGGAATTCCAATATCAGAGTGTACTGTCTGGTGCATATGAAAAATCCTTTGGTTCACTTCTATCCTTAACTCCTTGACACTCTCCACTCAAAAAAGATGAACAAATCACATGGCTGGAATCCATTTTGAACAACTTTTATTATACGTTTAGTGTTTTCTATACAAAAGAAATCAGTTTTTTTACAGTGATTCAAAAAAAATTCTGAATAATTTGGCCTTTTCATTGTTCATGCAGTCAGTTTATAAGTCCATGTATTAGACGGTCCTCCATGGCCCAGAAGTCTTCCCTGCTGAAGGTCATGCGTGACACCCTCAGATAATGCATCTGTCGCCAACACAGTTGGTTAATGCAAGGTCACTCGCAAAAAAGGAAAGAACATGATGTGAGAGGGGTTAACATAAGTTGTGCCATCAGAGTTAAATGTTTAACCAACAGAAAAAAGATCAGACCAATGTGTGAGTGGGTGGAAATGGGGGAAGTATGGAAACATAGGGAAAAAACTTCCCCACTGAGAAGAACGCATGGGGGTGGTGGGGACAGAGCATGAGGTCCTCCAGGGTCCAGCGTGGTTGGGGGTGGGACCAGAACAGAAGGTGGCCGTGTCACAGGCGACTGATGCTCAGCTCGAAAGGAGCAAGAAGTTGGCAAAGAGCTGGGGAGCTGGGCAGAGGGACAACACTGACTGAGGACATTGCATTTGGGAATCAGAAAAAAGACAGCAGTCAGGCTCATCTGATCTGCATCATATTTGAAAAAGAGACACAGTAGTGCACAAAATTCTGGATCTCTTCTCCCAGACTTTTGTGTTTATTGCTTTACTCCAGTCTTTAAATCTTCCAGCCCAGCAAATGCCAGCATGGCCAGCTTGCCTGAGCCCTGCTGTCCCTCAGCACCCTGTGACCAAGGGCAGAATGGACAGGAGAGCCCTGCTGCGACCCCACTTCCAGCCCTGCTTGTGCTCAGGGCCCGATGTGCGACACAGCAAGAGACGCCGTTCTGGGAGTACGGTCTAGGTTTCACAGTCACAAATGCTAATCAGCTCAACATTCTAGGCTACTGGCCTGGGGGCTGCCCACAACTGCCGCCTGGGTTAAACACAGACTGTCACACACAGACTGATCTCGGACTCAGAAAAATCCTTTCTGTCTTTCATTTCGGAGCTGCTGGGCAACGTGAGAGAAATGGTAGAGGATCGACAGGGTGGAGCACGGGACAGTAATGCCTGTCTCCAAGGAGGCAGCTGTAGGGAGATAAAGGGCACTGGGCAAGGAATCAGAAGGCCCAAGGTCAAGCCCTAGTCCTACCTTGACTTACCAGCTCTGCCCTCTCAAGCCCACCCCTTCACCTCCCTGCATTTTCAGTTCCTTGTCTGCACAGTGAGTCACTTCAATTAGATCAGTGCTGAGATTCCCTCACAAGCTGAAATCTGAATCTGTCCTAGGCTAGACGCCATTGTATCTGTTTCATTTCCATCCTATCATCGTGGAACATCCATTTAATACTAATGGATGGATAAGAGGAGCCCTGGCTTCGGTTGTGGCTGGGGACACTGGTGACTGGCTTGGTTCCCTGGGTGGCTCCCTCCTTCCCCTGGGGGCTCCTCTCCTGAAGGTGTTGCAGGAAGGTCCTTTCTTAGAAGAGGAGGAAAAGAAAGGGCACTTACTTCCCTGGGTTGTCCAGGGTGGGGACAACCACAGTCCTGTTCTAACTCACATGGGGTGGCCCCTGTTTAGTTTAAGGGAAGGGGCTGCCCAGGAGTTTGGCTCTGCCCAACTGGCCTGTACCTCCTGGCACACGGAGCCTCCCCCTGTCACTTCAAGCTCTTTGCTTCACTGGCTCCAGTCCTATTTCTCTTTTTCTTTTTCAAGTCAGGGACCTCTGACATGGTGCTCCTAAGCCATCATGTGAAGCTCATGCAGGGTCCTCGGCTTCACTAAAACAAAATCACCCTGTGTGCCGAACTGGGAAGGCCTCACCACACCTGTGGGCTTGTGTTTGGTAGCGGCTGGTTACACGGTGCCCACCACAAGGTGTCGTGGGTGGAGAGTGGCCTCTGGGAATCTGCTGTTCTCCGACCTCCAGACCCACAAAGGGCTGGAGAAGCTTCACTTCTTTTCAGTGTCAGCAAAGCGGCCTCACAAAGGCTGAGACAAAAGTGTCCTTGGTGCTTCCATCAACTGGCAGTTTGAGACATTCTAAGACTCAGTCTGGCTTAGGACAACATTCCAGGAGGAACTGAACAGAGCTGCAGCCTGTGCCACTCTTGGGGAGCATTTCCTACTCCTTCAGATTGCCCTCTCTCTAGGTTGTGCCACAGGAATCACCCCAGCAAGGCCCAGTCCTGGTGATCTCTCCTCTTCCTCAAGCCGTGCATCACTCCCACACACAGCCCTTTGCATCACATCTCCTGAGCCCAGAATCGGACTCACACTTTGCAAGATGCTGTCCCCGGTGCTGTTCCCTGCTGTAAGCGTGGCTCTGCAACTGGGCTGTGGTCTGCTGCATGCATATGTGCATGCGTGGGTGCTTGGCATGGCAGGGTAGCCTGTTACTCAGCTGGAAACGCACACACACCAATGGGTCCATCTCCAGCCCTTCCCCAGCTGTGGTCAGGAACACAGGAAATGCACTTCCTGGGCCCATGCTGCTCTTGTTGGGGAACAAGGCGAGCACTGCACAGCTCTTGGCTGTGTGGTCACTTTTCCAAACCTCAGGACTTGCCATGCAGGGGGTAGACCAGATGTCTCCAACCTCTCAGGGCAGAGGAGATGGGCAAGGGAGGGAGTTGGCCTGGCTCTCCCTTTAGCTTAAAGTCAGCCATCTCCACAATAGCAAGGCGGGGAGGGGTGAGTCCTGTTCACCATAACTAAGGCAAAGTGGAGGGCAGCTGGTTCCAATCCGGCTTCCCTGCTTTTCAGGTGGCCCATGTCCTCTGTGCAGGAAAGTATCCAAAAGAGGGACTGAATGGGCACCAGAACACAGAGAGATTGAGCAGCTTGCCCCAGAGGGCAAGACTATTCCTCAATCAGCCAGCAGGTCACGCCTTCCCGGTCCTGCCTAGAGCTGCTAAGCAGATGGACCAAGTTCTCCCCGGGAAGCCCTTTCCTTCCAGCGTGGAGTCATCAGTAGCTCAAACAACAGAGGGCAGAATGCTCCCAACTCAATGGCCACTGTGCCCCAAAAGTCAGTGACAGTAATGTCAGCCCTGCACAGGCAGGGACCATCTCAGACCTTGGTCACCAAGGTATTCGGGGAACAGGCCTCAGCCCAGACTAGACGTTCACAGAGTATTTCATGGATGGACGGATGAGAGTGCAGGCAGCCATCACGCTCGGGGCTGAGCACACAGGTGGGTTGGCAGCCTAGAGTCACTGCAAGGTGACCTACACCTTTTCCCCTACCCCCAGCCAGACAGGATTGTTGTTGGTAATGTTCTGGGGTGTTTGTTTGAGAGATCCAGCTAGTAGGGAGTGTTGGGCAATACTGGTGTCCTGCTGAACTGGGGTGGACTCAGAAAGCGTCTCCTTTCTTCCCCAATCCTGCAACCTCACACCTCAGAGTCTGACCCCTCTGAGAATCTGCCACCTTTGCTTGGGGAAACCTTGGTTCTTCAGGCCCAGATCTGCTCCTGCCTGGAGGACTGTGATCATGTGGTGATGAGGGGCAGCTGTCAGCAAGCACAAAACAACACTCCGAGAGGATGGCACAGCTCATGCCAGGACTCTGGGATGGGATGCAGAGACAACCAGAGAACCCACCTCTCCCCAGGACCCCTAAGACAGAGCCTTTTCCAATTATCAGCCTACCTAGCAGAACTTCCTGAGACAAGGGGGTAGATACGATGATATCTAACATCCCTTCCTGCCCTAGGAGCCTGCTCTCAGTGCCATGGGCTCACTAGCATGCACAATGCAGTGCAGAATGGGGACCTGAGAAATTGTCCACTCTGCTCAGGCCCAGAGCATTTTCTGGAAAGCCCGGTCCTTTAATTCAGCTCACAGGCACACTTCCCCAACACTCCCTTCCAGGACAGTGGGCCAGGGCTAGAGGAATGCCCACCTGCATCCCTGCAGGTGTGAGAAGAAAGCTGGGGGAGGGGACTCTGAGCTCACCCCCTGCCCCCATTTCTTTACCCTGTCCCCTTTCATCATGATGGAGCTGTCCCTTGGGCTCCCAGGCAGCACACCTGGGCCACAGCTGGGGCCAAGGAACACCCTCAGGTTCAAGCAACATTACTGGCTCAGCTTTGGCCTATGATTTCTTATCTGCAGACAGAATGTGCGTCTATGGGCTTGACCTTCAATTGAATGATTAGGTGATGCAAGCATTGCTAATACCTCTGCGGCTTAAACATGTGGCAAATGATGGTTTAATAAAGTCTCTGAAGGACACAGCCCTGGTCCTGCCCAGGCCCCCTGGCTGTAGCTGGAGGCTCAAATTAGCGGCAGATGATCCATACTTGGGGATGAGCCTAACCCTCCTGAAACTGACTCCAGCCACAGGAGCAGCTGCAGGGGCATGCTTGGGCTCAAGCTCTCCCCCTCTCTGCATCACTGAGGCTAGGTACCTTTGGTTTCAAAAATGGATTAGGTGGGAAGGATGAAGGCAGCACCTTCGGTCTGAGAACTGCAGGTCTGCAAGTGTCTCCACTTGGGCAACGGGGTGAGGGGATGTGCGGAGTGGCTGCTTCTGGTCTTGCAGGGACACTTGCATAGGCTGCCCTGATCCTGAGACAGACATCACTAGAGGCTTCAAGGCTTGCAGGGTTGGGCTGGGAAACTGGGAACTCCAGGGACAGATCAGAGCTGCATAAGGCATATGAAGAGCATCAAGTCCTCCCCAGGCAGGGGCATCACAGCACTGTAGGGATGGTCACCTCAGGGTCCTCCGATAGGTACATACCCTCACAAAGGACAGAGAGGGGCAGCAGTCCCCATCTACACACAAGGTCAAGCACAAGTTTCAACATCACACAGAACTGACAGAGGGGGATAACTTCTAGGGATGGAAGAGAAGCAGCGCTTCACACCCCCGAACACACCAGCCAGGCCTCTGCACACAGGGCTCTATCTCCTTGAGGGTAGCAGCATAGACCCCAGCCAGGTGGGCAGGTGCCTCTACTCCAGACACAGAAGGTGTGGTCCTCTCTCCCGAATCCTGGGTTTCACTGATGTCCAAACCCAACCCTTCGATTCTCTCCAGGGGCGCGCAGCTCCCGAGGGATCCGGGCCCTGACTATCTTCGGCTTGAGGCCCAGTCGCCGCAGTCCTGCCCATCAGTACCTGCTGTTCCCCACCTTCGCCTTCAGTCAGCGCAGCGTACTCGCGGACACTCCAGAGGCGGGGCAGGGTAAGAACGAGGAGGCAGAGGTAAACTCGCTAACTGAACCAGAGAGAGGCAAGAAGGCCTGCCCATCCTCTCCCTGCCCAAAATACTGTCACTTTCCAGAAAAAAGCCAAGCCCAGCTCAGCAGCTTACAAGGCCGAGGTGGATGGGTCTGGAGTGAGGAGAGGCATACGGCAAGAAAGGCATCCTTCGGAAACACGTTGGCCCGGCAGCGGTTTGAATACTACAGCTTTTCTCTCTGTCCGGTTTCGGCTCATTCCTCTTTGTCTATCACTGTGGTTTCTTGGGGGAGAAGCGACCTATCCTTTATTTGCCAGGGACGTTTCTTACAAAACAGAAAGAAAGAGAATGGAGACACTGGGTCTGGAGGGAAAGATGCACAAAGAAAAAAATGAAAAAACTGGAGACAACGGAAAGTCCTGTAGCCAACAGAAACAGGTGAGCATGTGTGCCTGGTGGAGGGGCAGTGTGGTGGGGTGTGGCGAGGGACGGGGCTCCTTCTCGTGAGCGCTGCCAGGGCTCTAGCTCTCCTGTACTGGTGGCACACAGCGGGGTGAGAGCTCATGGGGAGGGGGTTGTGGGTGGCTGGGTGGTCGCTGGTCCTCACGGTGTGGCAGACCCCCGTATTGTACCCTTGTCCCGGAAGGTGGTGGCGGCTCTGTGGTAGGTCTGCAGTGGCTTCATCTCCTTCTCTCCCCTCCTCCCACTTGCAAAGTAGTGGCTGTGCTTGGTGGCTTCCTTTAGGCCAGAGAGTAGATGGCATTGACGGGTGACGTGGCCTCTGAGCTCTCGTTGCCCTCTGTCTCCTCCTTGTCCTTTTTCACCGTGTACTGGCCAATGAAGGAGCCATCTTCGTTGAACTGACCCTCCCCGCCTTCGCCATAGTCCACCAGGCTGTCGTCACTCTCCTGCTGCTTGATGGTGCCGTCCAGAGATGTCTGGCTGCCCTGCAGGGGCTTGTTGTCCTCATCACTGGGCAGAGAGAGAGAGACAGAATCAGGGCCCTGCCCCGCCCTCCTGGGCTGGCTTTTCACCATGCACTGGCCCTGCATAGCTCCGAGGATGTGGACTCTGGGGTCACTCAGTTCTTACCTGCCTAGTGCAGCAGACTCAACTACAGGAAATCTGGGACCCAGGGAGAACAGAGCAGAGACTGGTGCCCCCACCTCTGGACTCCTGGTCCGCGGTTCTTTCCTAAATAGTGCAGGAGGAGCAGTGGGGGATGGCCACTCCATGAGGAAGAGCCACAGCCTGGGAGACTACATGGGATCGCAAGGGTCAGGATGAGGAGTTCTGGTGCTGACTGTCCCCCTGTGGCCATAGCCTGTCCATGGAAGGTGGGCCTTCCACGACCTGCGCCTCTTTAGGGGTTTAAAGAGAACAGATCCCTCCCTTCCTCGCCACTTCCCTGTCTCAGGGCTGTCTCTTTGGATATGTAGTTTATCTGCAAACAGCTGCTACTGCTTGGGACCCAGCAAAAAAGAGGTGGGACCACACGAGGGAGGGGCACATAGAGAAGCGCAGAAGGCCTGCACACTTGAGAAAACCGCAGCAGGCCTGCAGGACCCCGCCAGTCCCCGTGGAGGGGGAGAGCTGGTGGATAAAGTGGCTGGTTGGGCATCGATGCCCATTCTGGATCTCTGCTGTGCTCCAAGGATGCAAAGGCCCCATATCCCTCCCCTGGTTGGAAAACTCTCTCTGCCCTTTAGGCTCAGAGGGGGGACCAGGTGCTGTTGGCTGTACTTCAGAGGTGAGATGGCGCCCAGGTGGGAGGCTGCTGTGGGCCAGCAGTGGGGGACTGGGGCCCGGGAGGTGGGCCACAGTGATGCCATACGGTCTGAGCAGACACACGACACCCACCCCCAGCTCCCAGCCCAGTCTCAGTGAGTGGCTCCTAGGTGTGAGGGAAATGTCCAGCTGAGCTGCCGCTACAGCAGGCAGCACCTTCTAACAGCAGCGCTGGGCACACAGCTGCCAGGGGAGGCCTTGCGTGAGCGAGTCTTAACGGAGAGAAAGTGCTTAGCCCATGCCCTCACGCGCTGAGTGCGGATGGCAGTGCTTGGGAGGACAGTGGCAGAGAGAGGCCAGTGGGTCTCCAGGTTGCTCTGAGTTTGTGTCAGAAGTGGAACTCTCTTTGAGAACCAGCAGATTCTCATTGCTGGACCCCTCACCCTCCTTGCACATCTTCTTTCTACCTGCACCCTTCCTGGGGCCTCTGCCCACTGCAGGGCACGAGGGCTGTGTCATGTGACTTTCTGGAATTCTTGTCTGGTTCCAGGCACCTCAGCTAACTGCAACCACAGGACAGAGATACCCGATACCCAGCAGCCGAGGAGAGGTCTTTAGTGAGTCAGGCTCTTAGCTTTGGAAGAAGAGACCTCTCCTGAAGAGGCCTGAATGGAAGGGTGGCCCTGGTCTAGCCGCAGCTCAGCTTCCAGGAAATCTCAAAGGTCCAGGAGGACAGACACAGGAGACAGCGGCACAGCTCCACCAGAAAGCTGCGCCACCAGATGGAATAAGGGTGGGCCAACACCGTCTTGCTCCCAGGCAATTTAGTTCTTCCTCTGCCTTACTCATTTTAGTCTTCGCTCAGCTTAGAACTCCTGGATGCATTAAATGGGGGCTTGAGATGGACGCTGTGTATGTGTGCATGTGTGGTGCCGGCCTGAGCACACTCCTGTGTGTGCCACAGTGGGGCAGGGACAGTGTTTTTATTTAACAATTTTGGGTCCGGGGAAGGACAGTGCACGAGAGGGCAGCTTCTCCCAGTGCAGGCTGCTGGCTCTGTCCTCACCCTCTTCTCTGGCTGCCCTGAGGGTCTGGGGGCAAGAAAGGCCCATGGCCTTTGGAACTGAAGGCCAGGGCATGGCTCTCAGCCTGCGGGAAGCTGGGCCTTGCCAGGGCTGCTGAGGATAGCTGCTGAGGGAAGGGGCAGGGGCCTCTCGTGCTGGCCCTCTTGGGAGGCTCATGGGGTGCTGGGGATGGATGGATTTGGTTCAGAAGGTGCCAGACAGGCCCCTGGGTACACAGCAGCTCCCTACACCCTAACATTGATATGATCCTGCTTGCCAGGCTGCTGATGGGCAGGGTGGCAGAAGCCCAGAAAGGAAGAGGAGAGGTCAGAGGAGGACAGAGGTGACCTGGGCCTGGATAGTGACCGGGTAGGGGTGGGGAAGGAGAGCTCTGACCAGACACCTCCTCCCACCCCACTCGGTCCGGAAGGAGATTCCTCTTGCCATCCAGTGGACAGATAACAATGTTCTTAAGCCCAGATGCAGAGGCCCACGCAGGTCTGACTGGGGGCACAGCAGAGGACAGCAGCTGTAACTGGCAGTCAGCCCCTGTCCCCTCCAGCTCCACCACTAGGTCACTCGGGGTGGGCATTGTGGTTTGGGCAAATGTCTTCTCAGTGTGGCCTCAGCAATCTCATCCAGGACATGGGTGCTTCTCCAAAGCCTATTCTAGCTGAGAGCCAGAGATACTGCCTGGTTCACGAGGAAAGGACCTAGAATACACATTTCCTTTCACTCCTTCAGGCTTTGGGACAATGGCTTCCCTGAGTCACTCTCTTGGGGACTAGGGTGGGATGCAGGCAGAGAGGAAGCCTGGAGCTTAGCTCGCTTTGCAGTAAAAAGGTGAAAAGATACATACAGTACCCCAGAACATCTGAGTTGCGCACCTGAATGGATGAAGGGGCATGTGTCGGGGAGCAGTCTCAGCGGGCATGATCAGGGCACACAGCCTGAGCACATGCGCCCTGCTCTGAGGGAGAGGCAGAGGCGATACCCCAGTGGGTGAGGACATGGATGCAGAGGCCTCTTGGCCAGGCAGAGCTGCTTTGAGGTAAGGGGCCTGGGGCAGTGAGGACAGCCGCATATGGAGGGAGGTCACATACCTGTAGTCAAAGGAGCCATCCTCTTCCTTGGGGTCTTCTGGGCCCAGAGGAACATCCTTCTTTTCTCGAACTTGGTCATCAAGAGAGGCAGACACAGATATGATGATTAAGAAGCAGCCCCTGTCCCCAGGGCTCTGCTGGGTGCAGCAGCAGAAAACACCGCCCTGGGCGCATGACACTCTCCCTTTTAATAAGTCACCATTGTGCCCCCCTAGTTCCTGCTTCCTGAGCTCAAATAGTCGTAAAGGTGATTCTGCCACCTCCTCCTTACTCTTGGGAGGCTTCTCACAACCCTACAGAAGACCTGAATCTCCTCCCACCCAGCTCCCCATCACTTCTTTCCAGAAAGTCTTCCCAAGGGAACGGATCCCATTCTTCCCCTTGAAAGGCAAATGCTCCATTGCTTGCCCCTCTTATTCTGCTCAGTAGCATAGGTATTTGTGCACATTTCTCATGCCCGGAACAGAATGCTGGTTCCTTCCTCAAGAGCAGGGGCTGTGCTTCTTCAAAGCTCCTGGCAGAGCGCCCTGTTTAGGGAGGACACTCCTTACTCCTAAGGGATCAGCGCTCTCCTACCAGTCCTCGCTCGTTGGCTGCTGTCTTTCCTTGACCCTCCCCTGGGTGTGCACACATCAGCCAAGGCCTGTTGCGTGTGCCATGTTGTGCCTCCGAGCCAGCCATGATGTTGAGGAGAGACATCTTTTCCTCTGCTATCCCTGGCACCTGGGGACTCTTTTTGTGTCCTTTTTGAGGAACAAGCCTGGATTATCAGCCCTACTTTTAAGCAAGGGAAACTGAGGCCTTAAGAGGTAAAGAATAGTCATATCACCAACTAGTAGACTAGACTGAAGCCCGGATCCAGGCTCCATAGCTCCTGGGTTACTCATCTTTCTAACTGAACTAGAGGAAATGTGGGTAGCCTGGGAGAGGTTTTTGGGACGAGGCATTTTCTAAATAGGCAAAGGCTCCGTTTATCTGGTGAATCTTTCCGGTATCCAGGTCCATCTACCCAAGTTCGAATGTCAAACAGAAGGCCAGACCTCTCCCTAATTCTGGCTTTTTTGCTTATGGAAAGAAAATAGACCAAAAGCAGAAAATCATTGTGAAAGAAAACATCAGCAGTAAGGAACTGCAGAGAGTTTCTTGCCTCTGCTCTCTCAAGATCCCAGGGTCTGTGGGTGCTTGGCAGGGGGAGGGAAATGAGAGGCCCTCCTCTCCCTTCTGTTTCCTGTGTGGAGGTCGGGGCTGTTCACAGAGACGGGGAGGAGGAGCATCTGGGAAGCGCGCAGCACGTCTGGTGACAAGGCTGTGGGGCAGGGAGCAATTTCTTTCCGCAGTCCAGCAAGATTTTTGCTCTCGTGGCCATCCATTACCCTGTCTCCTGTCACCCTGCCCACCCCATCATGGACAGATGGCTCTCTTGCCTATTTGAAAAGCAATCAATATTTTCAGAAACAAGAAGGCCAGAGGTCCTTGTCTTTGACCTTGGTTTGCCTGGAATGGAGGGTCTTGAAGAGATCAGCATAGAAATGCTTCTGCAGAAATTTACAGAAGTCTAAAGCCTTTAAGGGCTGTGAGGAGCAAGTGCTGCAGGTCCTCCGTTGCAGGTGCCTGCGATTACTCCTCGTCCCGCTGAGGGCCTGTCTCTCCTGGGTGTGATGTTCTGTCCAGACCCTTTTCCTCGTCCTCTCTGACCGGGTCAGAGAAAATGTTTCTCTTCCTTCCTCCCTCCCTGGGACTCAGGATCCTAATGAGATTTGGGCTAAAAAAAAGCCAATTTACCACGCAGATGGGTGGTGAGTCAAGGGCAGGGAAGGTCATTCTCGGTAGGAGCCAAGGCTCCTTCCATCCCCTCTGGCGCTGCCTGGACCAAGCCATCTGCCCACCCTGTGCCAACTTAATTAACTCAAGGGCTTGCTGGCAGCTCCAAGGTGCACAGAGCAGTCAAGAGGACCACCGTTACCAGCCCCAGCTCTGGCTGGGGACCTGCTGACTCACGGGAAGGATCACTTCCCACGCCGCCCACACGGCTCACCTGGGTACTTGCCGCCTCGACTCCTCTTGATGAAGCAGACGATGAGCAGGATCAGCACCAGGAGGGCGATGGCGCACATGAGCCCAATGAACCAGCCCTGGGTGGCGATGTCTGCCTGGTTGTTGGTGTAAGCTGGCGGGGAGGGCGGGAAGCAAAGCCGTCAGTGGTGGCACAGGGAGGAGGCGAGCGGAGGAGCACAGCTATTTCCCGTGGCTGCTTCTCCAGGCGCCTAACACGACCACCTAACAACCCTCTGGCCCCAGCTACCCCACTAGAGGAACAAAAAGAAAACAGTTAAAGAGCCAAGGTCAAAGGTCAAAAGGTCAGAAAACATGCAAAGAAAAGGGGTGCAGGGAGCAGAGAAGCAGCAGCAGGCCAGACAGGTTCTGTAGGCAGGGAAGTTTCCTAAGGTTGAAGCACAGCGTCCTTGCCAGTCCGAGCACTGGCCACAGCGGGGTGGGGCTGAGGGAAGGCCAGGGCTCGCCTCTGGCAGCTGGATTCCCCGAAGGAAGCCTGCACATGACCTACCAGGGAGTGGCACTGCGGTCACACTGCACATGTGCTGTAAGACTGCCCAGCAGGCCCGCGCAGCGCAGAGTGGTGACCCTGCCCACCCGCACGGCTCCAGAGCCATCCAGGCTTTGGCAGTGAGTCCTGGGTCAGGAAGAGGTCTAGGGCGGCCTGTACCTTTTCACATCTCCGCAGCTGGGTTGTGCACTCTCTGGCAGCAAAGACGACCCAGCCATGGGCACCCCCGGTTAGGTCAGCCATGATGCCAGGCCCTTTCAGGGCACTTGCACCCAGGAAATGGTCCCTGTGGTCCGTGACAGGCCCACTCGCCCCCTCCCAGCCCCTGAGATGGCAAGGTGCTTTGGTTGCATCCAAAAGAACATGTCTTGTGGTTACCCTGATCTACAAAAGCTGCAGAAAGAAGTCCATCTCTGCTCTGTTGCTCCTGGCAAGCCACTCCCCAGACAGCACTGGAGGATCTTCCCCAAACCGCACGCAGGACCAAACTGCTTCCTGCATCCACCCTTTAGAGCTTCTCACTGCTGCTGCAGAAAACTGACCTCCCTCATTCTGACGTGTCAGGCTCTGTGACAGCCGACCCTGGCCTCCTCTCTAGTTTTCTGTCCCACCTTCTGGTTACTCTTCATGATCCAGTTGCACTGGTTACTTTCAATCCTGCCTCAGGGCCTTTGCACTTGCTGCTCTTGCTTTTGCTGCCTTGGCAGGCCCTCAGAAATGCTTTCCTTGACCTTCCCAGCTTAAGCAAAGGCCTCCCACCTACCCCTACCCAGCCACTCTTGATCAGAGAGGTCTAATTCATCTTTCTCACAGCACTTAAAACTATTTGATAGAAGGGGCTGGGGATTTAGCTCAGCGGCAAAGTGCCTGCCTGGCAAGCGCAAGGTCGCGAGTTCGGTTCCCGGTACCGGAGAAAAACCAAAAACAAACAAAAAAAACAAAACAAAAAAAAAAAACTATTTGATAGAATACTACTACTACTGCTACTAATTTATACTTATTGGCATTTCCATAGGCCGGCACTGCTGTAAGGACTTTCCCACACATTACCTACTTCAGGTCTCAACACAACCCCAGAAGGCACAGAGAGGCTGAGTGACTTTCCCCAGGTCACAGAGTGAGTAGATGGCAGAGTAGGGATGTGACCGCAGGCTATGTGGCTCCACAGTCTGCTTGTCATCACCTGGAGTCTGGGGCCACCCGGCAGGTGAACTCCTGTGTTGGGTTTAGTGTCCACTCCCCAGGGCTGGAGCAGAGCTGCGTACCCAAGGCCGGAAGCTGAGCCCCTGCTGCCTGCTCTTCCTTCCACCCCACCCTCTCTGCAGCCTCCCTTCAACTTGCCCTGCCGTCCCAGCCCTCAGCTCGGCGCCTGCTGTGGGTCTCCTTGTGATGGCTACATGGTAGGGTGCTGTGGGAGGGAGACACAGACCCAGGTGGTACGGGTGTCCCTCACCTGCACTTTGCTGCCACCCAGCCGTCTGTCACTGCCCCTCTCGGCAGCGCTGCAGCTGCCCACCCAGCACTGCCCCAACCCCCACACTTCTCTGATTCCTTCCTCTGCACACCTCTGTGGGCCTCATTGTCCACAGTGCTCTGGAGACCCCGGCCACGCACAGACCCTGCAATTGTCCCTGCCTGTGCTGGAGGACTCTCCTCCCCTCCCTCCCTCCAAAGCGGCTCCTCCCGTATACATGGGCCCCAACACTGTCTCTCCTTCCCGTAAGGACCTCTGAACTCCCCATCACGGTCAATTTCTTTCCCTCTGCTGTCTCCTTCCCTGCTGCTCTTAAACACATTGAGGTTTCTTGTGGTTTTCTTTACACAGAAATCCTCATGGAATGGCCCACACCTCTGAGCTGCAGCTCATGTGCCAGGCAGATGCCTTCACCTCCCTCAGCTCCAGATCCCTCTGCCCGTTTCTCCCCCCAACAAGCTGATGTCAAGCCTCTCCACACTGAGTGCTTCAGCTATGACCGCCCAGCAGACCTCTGCCAAACCCACCTCTGCGCCCTGACTGGGCCACACTACTCCTGCCCCGCCCTTGCAGCGGCAATCCTCCGGTTCACCTGTTGTCCCTGTAGCCCACTCCACGGCTGTGGGCCGGCGCTGCCTCCTGCTAGCTCTCTGCTTCAGTTCAGCATGTGTGCCTTTCTGTTTCCATCTGTGGCTCCCGCAGCTCTGTGGCTCTGCCAGTGGCCTTGTCACTCTCCGTCTTTCTAAGAGCTGCTGTTGCTCCCGGTAAAACCTCTGCTTCAATGCTGCATTCTAGAGGAGCCCTCTCATCTCATGCCTCCCAGCGCCCACAGACATGGTGAGATTTGTTACCGCCGCTCTCTCTTTTTCCTACCACACTGGGCTCAGCTACTCAGCACAGACTCAAGGGCACTCTACAGGCCTCCAAACCTCGCACCTTTCCCACCCTACCTGTGCCAGCCTGGACCGTTGCCCTTCCTGCTCACCACCTTCCCACATTCCCCTGCACCCTAAGCCTCCCATTGTTCCAACTCACAGTATCTCTGGACTCTGATTTCACTCCTGAATATTCCACACAAATGTAAAAATGAGTTGTTCAATTTCCGGGGTCCTGGTTTCCAATGGACCTATCAAGTCTTAAGACCAGGAGATCTTTTTAAGTTCCTAGAACTCAGTATAATGCCAGTCATGTAGCAAGTAGTCAGGATCAATTCAATCCCGATGTAATGTGGTTAACCTGCTGTGGGTTTTCCCCAGTACTAGCCAGCGGTCACAAGGATCTATCCTGGCTTGTCCAGGCTCAATACTGGAGCACCAGTGAAGGAACTGCTTCCTTTGTGTTCCGACAGTGGTGCCCAAGGCTTGCTTAGTAGAGTCTGCACCACCATTTCCTGGTGCTTCTTCTGACATTCCCCACAGCATTCCCTTTCTTTTGGGAAAAAAAGTCATGGATTCCTTGGGAAAATGGCTACATGGGAAATTTACAAAGCAAAAGTAGTTTTCCACTCTGACAGTACCAGGTAAAGTCCTTACTGAAAATGTCAAAGAATTTCCGGTGAAGTCTGGATACAGAATTCTGTTCAACAGAAAGTGGATCTGGGGAATGGTGGGCTCAGCCACATCCCATCAAAGCAACTTTGTTTCTCAAGAAGCAAAAGAAATTTAGGGGACAATGATCTGACTTACAACGTGACCCTGCAGCCGGGGGGTGGAGGGAAGGCATTTTAGTGAGGCTCCAAGGCAAGTGCATTGACTGCCTGTGCCACACTCAGCCGCTCTGCTAAACTGGCCTCCAGATTCCTAGGGGGCCCAATGCTATCAACATTCAGTGACCAGGTGCACTTACCCTCACCATCTCCAGAGGGAAGTGACAGGAGCCAGAGCAGCATCCTGTCACTGGACCCTGGGCCCGGCACGCTCAGGTCTGAATGCCTCTTGCGCTGGACTAGAAGCCTTAGCACACAAGCTCCACACCACACCCTGCCCGTGCCATGCAGACAGTTCCACCGACTCCTGTATCTATATATCTGAGAGGAATCTAGCTTGGCTGGAGAAGACAAACTCATCACTCAAAGTCAGCAGAACTATATTCTGGAAATAGGGATGGAGTAACAAATATAAGAGAGATGCTTGTCTTTACACACCTTTGCTTTGCCGGCTCTCGCTTAAGCACCACTGTAAACTCCCTTGTTCCCCACATCCTGCCCCATCCTGCAGTCCCTCCTGCCTCCCTGAGGTCTAAGCAGGCCACTGCCCAATTGCTGGTCCACCATCAGCATCCCCTGGGCTGCTGCCCCAGCCCAGCCTTCCTACCCAATGGGGAAGAGCAAGTCAACCTCTGACGGTCCAGGTTATGTATCTGTAGCCTTTCAAGTCTCTTTGGCTCCAAAATCTTCAAGGAGGTGATCCATTTGCCAATACGACCTTTCTTGTGAGGGCTGGAGAGCCTGTGAGCACCCCTACTGGTTTCTTTTCTTTTGCTGTGTCTGCAGACTACAGGGACGGACTGTGGCTGCCTAAATGACCAGCGGCTGGGCCTAGAGGAGCTCATAGATTCTTGCTTTGATGAAACAGGGATCTGTGGGATTGTGTAGACTTGGCTCTGGAGTCAAGTTTCCCACAGGAAATGGTGTGCAGTTTTGAAGGATTTGGACACTTGTTCACAGCCATACAAGGACTTCAGAAAGTGTAAATATTTTCTTGCCCCAGGTGTCTTGTGCATAGTAATTTCCAGCCAGCCTGGGAGGGAAGTAATGACATGAACTCAGAGCTCCCCTCAGCCTGCCTTCTCCTGCCTGCATGGGGAGGAGTCTGGGAGGACTTTTCCGTGCTTCATGCCTTAGTTTCTCCACAGGCAGGTGATCAGAATGACCCTATGCAGACCATCCCCATAAAATCAAAATCAGTATTGAAACCCAAATTGAGAAGCACATATTAGCCCTCATTATTTTCTTCTGTATTGCATGCTTAATGCCTGGAAGCAGACTGGGACATCCCCGAGGGCAGATTACCCTTTTCTCTCTCCTAACCTTTCCCTGCAGCTGCAGGGCTGAGCGCCTGCAGAGGTGGAACCCTGACAGGAGGCTGAAGTGGCCTTTCAGAATTCCCTAGGGTGGACCCCTACCCTCACGAATATCATCTTTCATTCCTCCTTCTGCGATGGACTCAGGTTTGCAACAAAGCAAAATGAAATGCATGCACGGGTGAGCAAGAGCTTAGGACCCCAACTGGGTCAGAGCCCAGCCACCTGCTCTGCTCGATCAACTGTCCCAGTGCCTGGCTCCTCTTGTAGCATGACAGCCTGGCTGCTCACTCAGACATCCCGACCTGAATGGGCCTAGCTAGGCTCAAGCAGGGAGTCAGACGCCCTGAGCCTTGACGGCATGCAAATATGTGGGGCAGGCGGGGTGCAGGAGGAGGACAGTCAGGAGGGACCAGGCTAGCAGGGCTGGGGTGAGAAGTGGTACAGATGGGGGTGACTCCCAGGATGCCAGGATCAGCCTTGGCAGGCCAGGCTCGGGAGGAGTAATGAATATGCAAGTCAACATTCAGAAACTCATATAAATCACTGTGGGTTTTTTCTCTTTCTATCCCATGTGTCTAATAACCTGCATCTGATTAGGGCATCCCTAGAGGCACGGACCAATCCTTTTCTCTCTTAATCTCTTTTCCCTCCCCTCACCCTTAGCCCCAGGGCTTAGCATACAACCCACTTGGCTGTTCCTCTGGCCAATTTTAAAGATATAGCCGCGAAGATAAGCAAGAGCCCATACAGTCTCCAGACGCCCCAGCAGCTGAGAGATTTCTAATCCTTGTCTCCTCTCCTGAGCCCCGGACAGCCTGTTCATCTGACATGGTGAAGATGTTTCTCCCCCCACAGCAAAAGCCTCTACAAAGCCCAAACTTCCTCCCCTCTCCTAGCACAACAAAATGTCAGCTTTTAGGTAAGACAAACTTGGGACAAAATTTACATCAAAATAAAGTCCTAAGCAGGGTGTGTCCCTCACTGGATTTTTTCGAATCAGATGATGACGACAAAGCAGTATCAAAAGTGCTGACCCGTTTGATTCTTGGATCAAGACCCCAGGACAGCCCCATCCCCAATCCCACATGCAGAAGCAACACTGACTGAGTAGGGGCAGGCTGCGCATCGCTCCAGCACCCCCATCAGCGACCAAATTCGCCCGGACACCAAGCCCTTTTGTTTCAGGTGAAGCCAGGGACCACAGCTTCCTGCCCTCATTATACAATCCTTTGTTTCCTTCTGATCCCTGCTCAGCCCACTGGCTCGGAATTGGCCCCTCTGCATTGTGCATGCACACCTGGCTCCTCTGGCTTCCCGGGGGCCTCTGACACGCCATGCAAGGTGGGAATGGAGTGGAGATGAGTCTTCTTTCCAAGGAGCAGAGACAAGCAGGAAGCTGGGAATGACGATGAGATGCCCCATGCTTGCCGGGGATGGCCAGGCCAGATCCCTTCTCACCTGTACTGGTCATAAAGGTGATGACGGTACTGCTGATGCCCTCGTTGTCCCGGGGATAAATCCGCAACGTGTATGTCATCCCGGGATAGAGGTCTGTCAGCTGTATAGGCTGGGCCTGGGCCTTAACAGGGACAGTTTTTTTTGTATGGTTGCCTGGGGAACAGAAATCTCTGTCAGCCTAGCGCCAGGCACCAGGAGCTGAAGAGATAGTGCTTAGGTTCCTGCTAGAGGCAGGAAGAGTGGGGAAAGGGACAAGGGGACCATGAGTCCAGTCTGCTGTAAAGACCAGGATATTACCAGGCAGTTCCCCATGCTGGTCCATGCAGTGATGGCCCTTATATAATACCCCTTCCGCTGAGGACAGTGTTTCCGCTCAGAAAGTTCTTTTTCACTACAGTCTTAGCACTAAACATACATGACCTACTTTCTCAAACATCCTTAAACAGCCAATGCTGTTGCCCTGAAGTGATTCACTCCCCATGTGGGATCTTCCTGCTGAGGGTCAGAGAGCCAGTTTGTTACTGCATGGTAACTAACATGCAGATGAGCTAGGACTCAGCTCCTCGGCTCTCACTCCTGGTTTTATCTCTCATTTCTTGCCCAGTGGCAAATTCTCCTATCAGGAAAAATGTGTACCTTTGTGTCTGGGCTGTGGGAAGCTAAAAAGTCTCAACCGAACTAGGGATTCCAGAGCCTGAGGACATGAACTCCTCCTCCAGCCATGAAGAACTCAGTGCTGGCTCAGAATTTCCTAAGGGATCTTTGGGTGGGCTAGCGTGGGTGGATATTGGCTTCATTGCTTAGGGTACATGCCAGAGAGGCCAAAAGGGTAGGCTTGACCTCAGAGGATCAGGGGCCTTTGCTCATAGGAGACAGATGTCCTGACCACACTCTGCAGTGTAACCAATCTGTACCCTTGGTTCAAAGATCTGGTAAAGTGTGAACGGCTCAGCGCAAGCCACCAGCTCTTTGAGACAAATGGCTCTGGTCATCTCTGACTGTCACCCATTTGTGGTGAACTGGTCCATGCTGTCCAGTGGAGATATCAGGACACATGGAGCCTGAGTTAGGAGATAATACAGAGGGGAGCTTTGGCTCATTTGGGGACTATTCAGAACCCTCATCCGGGCAGGAAATAGACAAGAGGGTCTTGTTCCACAGGTCCTTGCAGCACATGCAACTCGAGGGCTTCACTAATGGTTTCAAAACCCCTTCCTTCTCCTGGGCTTGCTCCTCCCACGCTGCAGCCTGACCACATATCGATTTCATTAAGCTATAATTAAGCCAGGCTAAAAGGCTTCTCTGAGCCTGGGGGAGTGCACAGGATCCCTGTAACGGCGTCTACTGCTCCCTCACTGCACCACCCAACACAGCAATGCTTACTGTCGATGTACTCAACCACAAAGTCGGTTCCGGGCCCGAAGTTGTGCTTCCACGTGATGTTGGCCCATTTACTGTTGGAGAGCACCGTGACATTCCATATGAACTGCTCATCGGGGGCTGGGGGTTGATGGGTTAGAAAGGAGTTAGTGAGGAGGGGGCAGAATGGGTGACATGGAGAGGGTATGTGCACAAGCACGAGTGCACGCAGGCACGTGCACACACACATACATGCATGCGCGAGCACACACATGCACACACACACACACACAGTCAGCTGGGAAAAGGTAGAGTCAGAAATGGCTGTGCACAGGGCCTGAGAGGACTCCAAGCTGCAGCCTTGGTGGCCAGGCCAAGGGTAGCCATCCAGGGACGTGCGGCAGCAGTCAGGAGGACAGAGATGTGAAGGAGAGCTGGAAACTGTCTATGTGTCTGCATGGATCAGGGCAGGGATGGGTTTGGATCCATGCCATTTGTGGCTCTAACCTGGGCTTGTTTCCTTCTTAGATCCATTACCACAGATTTGAACAGTATAAGGAAATGGGTTAGTAAAGGGTCCCATGGTGAGGATGCTGACAGAGGGGGAGATGTACAAGCCTCTCCCTGCTTTAGCCATAGAAGTTCTATAGGAAGGAGAGAAGTCATCTTTGGAAGTCAAGCAAGCAGGGCTGGGGTACAGCTCAGTGCTAGAGTGCTTGTCTACTATTTGGGTCTGATCATTCCTGGGTTTCATCCCTAGCACCACCAAAAAAAGCTCAAGCCAGAACTGTGATGAGATGTGCAAGAAGGACAGGACCAAATGTGTGAAAACGCTTCTGGGCTCCCAAAGCTGGAGGAGGAGAACGGGAATCCAGGCAGGTGACTCTGGTCTGTGGTTGTTCTTGGCCAGTAATAGTCTGGATGATGTGTACAGCAATGACTTTAGATTCCTCACAGGGGCTAGTGGCTTAGAACCGCAGGGTCCTAAGTACATAAAGACGGTGTGACCCTTCCCTCTGCCCGTCACGGGCGCTGTCTGAAACCATTGCCCGTGTACAGGAGAATGGCAATAATCTTCAAATATAACCACTTTTCAAGAGTCCCAGCAGTCTGATTACCCTATTTCCCAGCAAAGATCTAATAGTGGAGGGCTAGCATGAGATCTTGTATTTCAAAGAGTTTACAAGTGTGGCTCCTGTATATTTTATTAGCGTGCAAGGGGGCCCTGTCACCAACTCACTTGTCAAAAATAAATGAACAGAGCGCACTGGTGATGCATTTATTCATTATCTGCTTGACATGTGACTGAGTCTGCATGGCTGGGGCAGTGATAAAAGATTTCCTCATTTTCACTTCAAAGAAGTTGCTTCTCTACTACAGCCTTGTCAGGTTGCCCCAGGTGAACATGTGCCATGTTGGGTGAGGGCCACCTAATATAAAGCAAGAGTTTTATGATGGCACCGTAGGGCATTCTGCATGGGGAGGCAGAAGCCAGGCCTCTTCACTTGTCGGTCAGATGTTTCAATTGGATTGGTTGTTTAAACCCCTCCAATCCTGGCACCTTGGAATTTCACAGCTCTCGCTAATGAGAATGAATGATTAGCTATGATTTGGGGAGGTGAGTTTCTCCCTCTTTGGCCCTGCACCCTATAAACTAGCTAGCCAATTTGTGTTTAAGCAGTTTGGCTCCCTAGGTAATACTGACTCAGACTTGGCTGTTTTAAAGGGAAGTGCCTTCAGAAAAGGACAAACAGTGGGAAACCAAAATTGGAGGAAGGCATCACCCAGCAAAGGTGATGGCCACTAAAGAATTGGAAAGTTCGAAGAGAAGGACAACAAGAGCTGGTAATCAGTAACTACAAAAACAGAGAGGGCCAGTGAGGTGAAGCACGTGAGGTTCCACCGAGTCCTGGTATATAAGAGACATGGAATATCTTTGAACACTAAAAAAAGACACTTTGAAGGCAAATAAAGAGGCCCAAGTCACCCCCAAATTATGAAATATTGTGCTCTAAGATGTAAGACGTGGTAAAGATGAAAATTCCTTTAAAAAGTGCTGGGTGGCAGGTGTATGCTGCCAAGGGAAGCGGGGATGCCTGAGGAATGTCCCCAAGCTCTTGATAAGATTAGGACCATGGCCAGGCCCTCTGCAGTGTCTTAGATGTGGCAGAAACTTGGACTGAGGGTCACATGCCAACCCCATGGGGCAACAGGGCCGATCTTTCCAGAAACAAGTAAGTATTTCCTGGGGAGTGAGATTCCATTACTCCATTCTTGGAGCCTTTCTGCCAACTCCAAGTTCTCTTAGGACCCCAAATCCCGCTTAATGACACAGATGCCTCACGGAGGCCCCAGAGAACACCAATCACCAGGTCACTGCTGACAGCAGCCTCTAACAGACTACAAAGCTCTCCTCAGCTGGCTTTTCCTTACGTGCATGTTGTTTAAATCCCAGATACTGTACCTCTAAAGCAAATCGGTGTTTTCAAGATTTGAGGTGGAGGTCAGCTGTGAATCCCCCCTCTTCTTACTAACCATGCAACTGAGTTAAATCAAATACTCCCAGGAAGCCAGGCAAGTGAAGGGTGGGGGCTACAAGTCTGCTGGAAGGCATGCTGGGGGCCTCCGCTGGCCTCGAAGGCTGTGTCCTGCTGATTGTGCAGCTGGCCTGGGCCTTGGGAAGCCAGACGCGCTCCCCTCTGTGGCAATAAGACTGTTTGATGCTGGGCTCTCGGAAGTATGGCTGAATTCCCCAGATCTCCTCAGGCCGGAAGGGCAGGGCTTCCTGGCCTGTCTGCACGATGCACACTCTCCTAGTTCCACAGGGCAGGGGTCCCCGGGAAGGCTGTGGGTTTTCTCTCCCTGAGTGCATTGGGGCGCACAGGGAACAAGGGTGGGAAGAGCGGTGGAGCACCTCAGGGCTCTGTGGGATGACCTGGCAACACCATTTCCACACTGTTTGCTGGAAGCTCAGACTTTTTCTTTTTTTTTGGCGGTGGGGGCGGGCAGCGGTGGAGATGGAACCCAGGACCTTACCCGTGCTAGGCAAGCGCTCTGCCACTAGCCCTTTAAATATTTCTTTTTTTTTAATTTGAGAAGATCTCACTCAGTTGCCCTAAATTTGTGATCCTCCTCTCTCTGTCTCCCAAATAGCTGGGACTACAGGCACGCGCTACCACCCCCATCCTGACGTTTTAAAAGGAAAGTCTACACGAGTTCCTTGCAAAGAGGGACAAGAAAGGAGCGGGACTTCCAGGAACGAAGCTGCTGACCCTAACGGCTGGGTAGGGACACGGCGGGAGCCCAGAGCTCGCTCAGGCTGGCTTACAGCATCAGTCCTTTCCCTTCCTGTCACTTTCCCTTCTGGCGTGCTCAGCCCTGCACTGCTTATGACACACATTTGGAGCCAGCCTTACCATCTGGGGCCCGGGGGTCCTGTTGGAAGACCCTGTGCTTGAGTGCAAGGATCGGAGGCTGGGGTGTGAGTTACTGAATGGCGGAGCCCTGGGCCTCTGGCCACCGGACAGTTTGCAAATAACGCAAAGAAGCTGCTGGTAACACCACTGCAGACCCCGCCTCCCGGCTGGGGAAGCCTGGAGCTTGTTCCCAGGGCAACTGGGAGGTGGCACCGAGGGGTGGGGGGAGGGCAATACCGGATTCCTGCATCTTACTCCTGGTGCCGGTGGTGGGAGGACTCTCCGTGGTGGTGGTGGTGGCGGCGGCGGCAGTGGTTGTAGTAGTTGCGGCGACGGTGGTGGTGGTAGCGATGGTGGTAGGTGCGACAGTTGGGATGATGGGGACTGTTGTGGCTTCGGTGGTGGCAGCAGCGGCAGTACTGCCCACAGCGCCTATCGCACCCTCGGTAGTCGGGGGCAACGTGGGAGGTGCTGAGAGGGAAATGTAAAACAGCCGAGTCCGGTTGGTTTGGCTGTGCCCTGCCTGCACACTCGGCCCCCGCGTGCAAGGCAGGCAGCCCAGGAAGAGGGCATCGGAAATCAGAAGCCTCCCCAAGCATCACAGACCAACTGGCTGCAACGGACCACGGCCAACGCAGACACAACCACGGGAAAGGAAGAGAATGAAGCCTGCTGTGCAGTTCATTTTCTTCTCGTCGTCCGTGCGGTTCAAAGCACCCACATGCACCCAGCTGAGGACGAGGTCGGCACACGCTGAATCACTCAGACCCCAGGGACGACCACCCAGACACAGGCCCCAGCAGCACCAGTTGGGTCCAGCCCTAGAGCCCTGGCCTCAGAGGTGGGGTGCTCCAGCCTGCAGGGGCCTAGGGAGTCTACAGTTCCGAACTCTGCTCAGAGTCACTTTTGTCTGCTTTTGTCCTGCCAGTCACCCAGGCCAAGGCTGGGAGAGAACAGTCCCCACTTGGGGGCGGGGTGGCCTTGCAAGGAGCCTGGATGAAGCTGAGCTCCCGGATCGCCCTTCCTGTGATCACCCCGTTCCGCCCTGACCTCTGGTAACTGCCTTTCTCTCTGGGAAATGTGAGGTCTGGGCATCCCACGTCCTTTCTATTTGCATTAGAACCTGGGAAGAGGGGCACTGGTGACACCACCTTCCACAGACGACGTGGAAATCCCGGGGCAAGTGAGCCACGTGCTAGGCTTCTTTTCTGCCTACATCACCACCCGGGACGCAGGGCAGTTCAGACCTGGGCTCCTGCTCACACCATCTTCCACCCATAGTTACTCTTTGATGCCGGTTGGTCCTGGCAGGCTGGGTGTGTATATATGACAATCTTTTCATAGGCCTTCCTTCCATCTCTAGGAGGGACATGGACACTCACACAGGACTGCTCTATCCGTACTCAATATTTGTGGAAGCTGAGGATGATGAAGAATGGTGAGGTATATCAGAGGGAGGCAGAGCTACCTCTCCTCCTTGTACTCTATCTCCTGTGATCTGACCAGAGTCTACTTTCCAGTATTTATTCTAATGGGACAGTAAGTAGTGAGGAACCTCAGACATAAACAGGCAACTGTAACTCTCAAGGAATACTGACATCCCAGCTTGTTTTGAATCTCCAGAAGTTTAGGGAAAAAAAATCCCCTGTCCCTTCCCACCCCTATAGAAAGAGGTTAGGCCATAGCAGGAAGCCTGAGAGAGCTAATTGCCAGAGAACTTTCCACAGGGGAGGATCAAGTCACCCTTCGCCTTTTAACCAGAGCCTAACCAACAACAGCCCTTTCATTCCCCTGGGCCTCCGCTATTACGAGTCCCCCAGAGGAGGAGGGAAGGTCCCTGGGGTCCCTGGCACTTCCTACTGTAAGATCAGAGATCCACTGGGCCCCCACGGTGGTGACCACGGAAGTCACACTGGGGAGCTGACTGTGCCCCACACATTCCGGAGATTCCCGGGCAAGTTCAAAGCCAACAAAGCAGCATTTCCCAAACCTCAGACAGTTCTCAGACATCAGGAGGGCCAGCGTAGGGGCCCCCCCGCCTCTCTCATAGTCTGCATTTATATTTAGTCCCAAGGCGGCCCCAGGCCTGGAATGGGTGCTCAGTGCTGGACACACTCAGCATAGGGGCTGCACTTGTCCCACCCACCAGGTGCTGGTGTTCATGTCCCTCCCACCCCAGAAAGCTGGAGGGACCCTCAGGGTGAAGGTCAGCTCCTCAGGCCTGGACTATGCTGCACCATGGCCCTGCATACCCAGGGCTCCTCTGCGGCTCAGTCCATGTGGAAGGACCGCTCCAATCTAGCTCCTTGTCAGTACTACATTTCTAATAATTCCCGGCAGTCGGAATGCTCGCGGGTCCCTTCCGTGACTGTCTAGAAGCATCATTAGAACTCACACCCCCTGGTAACTGGAATCACCCATAATGCATGGCTCAGGCCCTGGGCTTCCTTTCTCTAGTTTGCAGGGGCTGTACATTCCCACACCCCCAAATCCAAGTCAATCGCCTGCAAAGCTACACACACTCTCATATAGCCCTTGGCCTTCATCCAACCAGAGACGCACACGTCCACACCTCCCCACTCGCACAGGGCCCAGGTGCTTCCCAGAGCTGTGGAGAGAGGAGAGGTGGTGGCGAACCTACAGCATGCATGCTGCCGTGGGCACACACAGCCTTCTCTTGGGCACACCAGCCAAGCCACGCGGGCACCACCCAGCAGCTGAGTCTCAGATGTCAGCACACACGGGGCAGTGCTGGCATTTTGCAGTACATGAGGGGGTCTTGGGTTGCAGTTTGGGCACTCAGTCCCTAAGAGGTTTGCTAACACCGGGCTAGAGTGTGTTCCTCACTTGGCAATGCTGATCAGAGACAAGGATGAGAAGTGAGTCTGGCGATGCTTCCTGACCACCTTGTCCCACCACTCACGGCCACTTCTGCCAAGTGTGTGGGAAGAAAGCCGTTCTTTCTGGTGATGGCTGCCTAGCTTTTTTCCCTCCAGCTCAATGGCAAAAGTCAGAGCGAGCAAGAGGGGACAGAGGAAAGGAGTCACTGTCAAGGTGGCCTCCAAGGGTGCTCACCATCAGTTACTGTGGAGGATACAACCTCAGCTGGCGGAGGTCGCAGCTGGCGAATTAACGTGCCTCTGACCCAGGGTGGACAGCAGCGCCAATACTGGGAGCGAAGCCAGAGGCAAGAGAGAAAGGCCTGAGAGACAGCACAGCAGGGTCAGGAGCGGGAGCTCTCAAAGGCCAGGCGGGAAAAGGAGACAAGCTTTCCCTAGAGAGAACTACCCCCTGCTTGGGTCCAATGACACAGAGATTATTTCAGCCCTTGGGCTGAGTTGGGGGAATGGAAAGAAAGTCAATAAGGCCCAGATGGGGCCATGTCCCTGGGCGAGGGTGTCATTTCCAAACGCAGTAGGACCTCCAGGCTTGGCAACAACCCTGGGCAGTGTTCAGCGCAGACCACTAGCTTGGCAACTGAGAAGATGGTGCAGGGGCCCTCATTACCCAAGGGCATCTAGGGCAAGCCAAGCTTGAGACACAGGGCCTGCCACAGGGCCCTGCCACAGGGCCCTGCCGCAGCTAAGGCACTGCCAGCCCCTTGGGAGGCTGCAAGCCCCTTGGAAGGCATCTCAGCCTCGGCCAAGGATTCTTTAACCAGAGTTTCAGAGTACCATGCAGGAGATGGGGAAAACTGGAGATGACACATCTTGTCCATTTCTGTCCCCAAAACTTGCCATGGAGTTGAAAATGCTTGCCACCAAGCATTTGCAGATCTGAGCTGAGTCAAAGCCGAGGACAGAAGTTTCCAGACATTCCAAGGTGGAGTGCTCAGTCCAAAAGCGTCCACATGGTGTGTGATCCGCCCTGGCCAATCACAGATTGTCAGACAGATGGGCAGCAATCTGAACAGACTGCAGATACAGGTGGATGTGAGGGATTATCTTCGCTGGGAAGATATGAAGAGATCCATTTGGGGGAAAAGGGCCCAGGTTTGGAAGAGATGAGCAGGAGTGGTGGGCTGGACGCCGGGTCCACGTGAGAAATGTACAACCTGAGCTCCATTGCTGGCACCTACAGGCTGCGCAGAAGGTTCTTATTATGCAAAACCAACAACATCTGATGTTATCAGCACATCTCCTGTCCAAAAAAGTACAATCTGCCTCGACCAGCCTGGCACATGGAAGCTGAGCCTTGCAAACACACTTGATTGATGGACAGAGACCCTGCGCTTGTTCATCATAACATGAGCAGTTTGGATCTTTTCTAAATGGGAGTAGGAAGTGGGGTGTTCATAACGACACCTCTCATCTCTCTCACAATTGCCACTCCTGAGACGGCAGCACAGGCTGGCACAGATGCCCACTGACCAGGGCAGACTCCCTGCTGCTGGATCCACCTGTCTTGGGTCCCAGGTTGCCAGAATGGGGGAGGTGGACAGGGAGCTACTTGACCGATAAGCTTTGAGCTGACGAGCCTGGTGCCCTTCCTGGGTCTCCACTTAGGCTGCCCTGAGCACCTGCCATAACAGTTACAGGACAGACTCATAGGAAATTGAATCAGAAAATCAGCAGAGCCGCCAGCACGGCAAGGATTGCTTTCTCCCTGGTACCCTGGCCCTGGCCCTGGCCCTTGGGCTTGAGCAGCAGTGTGCAGACCTGTGTGTGTGTGTGTGGGGGGGGTACCTGAGCCCAGGCTGGCCTGGATTATTGGGGGTGGAGGTGGTGAAGAGGACTGCAGGAGGGAAATATAAGGGCTGCTCACCACCCACAGATCTGGCAAAACATATGCAAACTGAAGGAAGCAGGGCGTGCAACAGAAATAGAATCAAACCTAGAAAGGGAGTGGGGAGACCAATGCGCAAAGGTAGGGAGGAAACCAAACCAGGCAAGGTGGCATCCTTTCACTATGCCAAGCCTCAGGTCCTCGGCTTGTGCTCAGCTCTTCCCTGCCTGCAGCTTACTTAGCGAGGCAATGGTGAGCCCTTGTTCACAGCCCCTGCACTGCCAGCAAACCCTGGTTTCATTTCCTACCTGAAACAATTTAGCTCAGAGGAAGGCCAGGAAGGGAACCTGGCATTTACTGCCTAGCTTCTCTAGATTAGGACAAGGTTTCTGTGGTGACAATTCCTTTGATGGTCCTTAAACCCACAACACAAGGACTAAAGGAAGAACATGGGAAGCAGGTCAGCTCCTAAGCCAGAACCTGCCTGCCCAGCCCCTGGCATCTGCTGTAGCTCTACTGCCCAGACCCAGACAGTGCAGACTGTTCTTGATGCTAAAGACTGAGAATCGGAGGGGCGAGGCGACCATCTGTCCACAGTGCCCCTGAGACTCCAGGTTCTGGAGCACCTGGCCCTACCCAAGGACATGTGTGCTTGTTCTCGGTGGCCAGAGCCCATGGCAGCTGGCAGATCTGGTGCCGGGGCCCCCATGCAGCATGCACAGCTGGCATGCATAGCATGCTCACCCTTTCAGGGCATGGTGGCCTGACCTGGAACCAGCTGCTCCCACTCCTGCAGGCCTCCTAGGGCCAGCTCTGTGCTCTGTGCTCGTAAGCCCAGGGGGGCTCAAGCTGTGCACAGGAAGTAACCACTCAGCCTCAGGGAGAGCTGCAACACCAGAGCAGGCCAGGACCCCAAGGGGGATCCCTTCCAAGACACTCTCCTTCTCAGGAGGGGGCAAGCATTAAGTGAACAGGATAGCAGCTTGCTCTCCCCCTGGTGTGCTGTACACACCCACTCCGTGGAGGTTGGGCTTCCCTACCACTGAAAGGGTGAGTCTGGAGCATGCTTTTGGCCCAAGTCTCTCCCTTTTGCTCCGCCCTCGCTGGTCTCCACCTGTGCTGCCCCACACCATGCCCATTACCTCTGCTGTTGGTACGGTACCTGCAGTTGGAGTAGCTTCAGACACAGCACCCAAGATGACCAGAAGGAGGGAGGGAGAATGAGAGAAGGAAGAGAAAACAGAGCAGAGGTGAAACCACAGGTCAAGCAAGCAGAGAAGGTCTGGCTCACACCTGACCAGGATGTGTGGCCAGGCGCTGGCTGCTGCCTTGGGGGTGCCAACTGGCACTCGGTGATGGTCAACCCTCTTTGGGTCAGGCAGGAACTTACCTTTCCAGCTGGGTCTTGGAGACCTTTCTAATATACCCTGTGTCTACCCCTATTCAAGGAGTAGTCACCTGAGAGTCCACCCAGCAGCAGGGACAGTCCACCCAGAATGCTGTGTGCCCCGCGCTTCTTCAAGGGTGTGTACTGGCCTGCTGGGTTGGGTTGCCCTTTGGATGCCAGGAATGAAATGTGCGAAGTGTAGGACAACCCCAGTCAAGAGGGTGGTTTCTGGGTCTTTGCTGGAAAGTGTTGAATAGTACTGGAGCAGATAGGCGAGGGGGACCACATTTGGCTGTCAACCCCTGCCCCCTGAACTCCATGTCAGTCTTGTAAAGCATGGGGGCTGATCTGGCCCTTCCAGTACTCCAGTATTTCCTACCAATTGTTCTTTATGAAATTAGAAACCCAAGTGTGGACAGAAAGCCCCAAAACAAATCCCTGCATTTGCTGGGATCCCTAGGTTGAGAAGAAAATCTTTGTTCTTTTGTCTCCTGGGGCTGCAGAACTTTCCCTCTGCTGGTCACTGGAACTGGACAATGGCCTTCTGTTGCTGTCCTGCACAGGGAGGGAAGAGGCCCTCTGTTGAGAAAGTGCCTCCAGGCCTGGCCTTTGGGGAAAGCCTGTATCAGTCACTTACTGAAGTCCCTCAGCCCTTATGAACTTCCCCTGTGTGTGTGTGTGTGTGTGTGTGTGTGTGTGTGTGTGTAGTGACTCCTGATTTACAAGACCAGAGAGAGACACAGAGAAGATTACAGCTCTTCTCCAGCTTCTGCCTAGCACCTCTCCCCTACCTTGGCACTGAGAGGGTTGCAGGGTTGTAGAGACAGTTGCATGGGGAGCCTTGGCTGGGGCGGCAGAAGCACAGGCCACTCTAGCAGGCAGCACCATGCTCTTCTGGGGTGGGGGCAGGGAGGTGCCTGGGAGATGCAAGGCCAGGGCCAGGCTGTGGCACCTGAGCCTTTGTGGGAAGGTAGTAGACATGATAACTTGTCAGCCCTAGGGACACCTAAACACATCTCTTCTTTGGGGTCCCTCCTTGCAAAATGAATGTCATTCTTCTTTCTAGCTGCTATATTCCCTTCCTTTGCAGACAGTTAGATATTCTTTTGGCTGTCTCTACACTGTGTGAATCTTTGTGTCCCTTGTTTCTGGGGCATTGCACCATGTGAGTACCCAAGAAATGGATGTTGTATAGATCACTGCACTTCTGGAGAGGAAGAGGGATCCCCACCTTTTCACAGGGGTCTGTCAATATTGAGGCTTTTGCAGTCTTGCACGCCGGGGAGGTTCCCATGGAAGCCTGTGTGCAGGTGAGCCTGGAGCGCCTTCTAGTGGAGTTTGAGGGCAGGCGCAGATCTGGCGGGGACACTTGCAGGAACACGCCAGCACCCAGGAGGTGAGCCCACTTATTCTTTCTAAACCTGGCTTGGCAAAGGGTTGTTTCCCAGACCCTTTCCTCCTTGGGAGCCTCACAGCTCATCCAACTCAGGAAACAAGGAGAAACATTCCCTGCTGTACTCATGATCTGGGCAAGCAGTTTCAGTGGTGGCCCTTTCCCTTACTTCCTGGCCCCACGCACCCTTGGGAAAAGAAAAGTCATCCTGAGTCCTCATGCGGCATTCTCAGTCATGTTCCTGCCTCTCTCTCTGGGTGAGAAGTTTCACTATTCTTTGGGGGTTACCAGCATATTTACTTCTGACAAACTTTCCCTCAGCAACTTCTCTCTTCTGCTCTCTGCCTTACTCCTCTGCAAGAAGGTAGGAAGGTTGATGGTAAGCAGCTGAGCATTCCAAGGTAACATGGGGGCCCATGTCTGGTGAGACCCAAGTTCTCCAGATACAGCACGGCGCTTCTCAGCACTGGGACAGGCTGGCTCCTGTCAGAGGCTCAAGAACCTCACTGCCTCTCCATCCTAGAGGGCGAAGCCCAGCTCCCAGTGTGCTTCTCTGGCAGCTAAATGAGCTGGGGCCTTTCAGCCCAGGGGTCCCCATGGGCCTACCTTCATTGGGAGGTGCTGGAGACTCCTCTGTGACTGCTTCTCCAGAGCCCACCTGTGTCCTGGCGCTGAGGGTAAAGCGGTAGCGTGACACAGGGTCCGATCTCTGCACGGAGAACTTGGTCTGGTTGGGAGAGAAGTTTTCTGCTATCTGTTTTCCCAACTTGGTTCCATTAACTGGGGAGAGAGAGGGAAGTGGAAGGGAGATTTAGCGGTGTTTGCCCGATGGGTTCTTTCATCTGCAGCTGGAAGAACACCTTCCCGACCTTCTGCAAAGGGAATGGTGGCCCCTGCCGGTGACCTTCTGGGCTGGGTTGGAAGGCAGGGCACTGGGTTCCTGCTCCCTCCCTGCCCTTTGCTCGCCACCTCGGGTCAGCCCATCATCTCCAGCTTGCTACAGTCATGGGGCTGATTTGGAAAGATTCATTTCATAGTTCCCAAGCCCTCTGGACAAGGACAAATCTCTTCTCTCCTTCCATTCAAACAGAAGGGGGGCAAACCCACCAGGGCTTCTGACTGTTAGTGCCTCTTGTAACAGGCGTGTTCAATATGCCTCAAAGGCAGAAGGGCTAGGCCCAGAGGTAGATTCAGAATAGCACAGGAACACCGGGTTGGCTATTAAAACTGTCATTAGTACAACACCTGGCCCTGTGAGTTCCTCAGTGAGGTACAACGCTGCACACACTAGAAGCCTTGATGATTTGCATGTGTAGTGACACTCCTGTCCCTGCATGGTGACACTGAGATCCCAAAGTGAGGTCTTTCTGCCCTAGGCCCCCGATTTGAGTCACTCCAAAGTTGCTTGGCTGTTCCAAGCAACCTTACACAGATGCAGCCACCTTACACAGATGGCACTTTCTGAAGGTGTCCCCGGGGTGTTTGCACACACACTGTCTGCTCCCCTGGATGAGGAACTTTCTTCTCTCCTGGACCTGGAGGCACTGGAGACTATAAGATCCCTAAGGCCAGGTTGTCACCCTCATTAGACAAGTGTTTCCTGCACCCTCCGTGTCAGACTGGGAGCTCCCTGCCACCTACGCTGTGCACGGAGAGCAGGGACTCTCCGGTAACCCTGTGCGCAGCTTCTCTTTGTCCCCTCCATCCCTCCACAATGCTCTCTGCCTTTCTACCTCACTTCCTTGGGACAGGTGGGGAGAATGCGGGGTTTCTTAGATAATCTCAGGGAAAACAAGGGACAGAACATACAGGCCACATATTTGAGGGTGTATCCAGTCAGGATCCCGTTGGGGTGTTCTGGATGGTCCCATTCCAGGTTGATTGTCTCCAGGTTGGGCTGCCGGACTCGGAAACGCCTGGGGGCACTGGGTACTTGGGGAAGGAGGAGAGAGCAGGGGACATGGGGTGGGGGCGGGGAGGATAAGGAAAACACAAAAACAAAGCACAGGATGAAGGCATTGACCTCGGCTGGATGCCTGCTGAAGCAGAACCTGGAGGAAGATGAGGGGCAGAGCCCGCTGCCCCACCCTGGAAATCGGCTTGCTTAGTCATGATGCTTGGTCTGGCTTAGACTTTGCTATTTAACTGGGGGAAGAAGTAGACCAAGTTTTCCTCTAACAATGACCCTGGCAGACGTTAGGCTCCAGTCTTGCAAAGGTGCCTCCAACCTAGCAGAGCATTCTCAGGTAGGAACCCATTGCAGCTGTCTTCCAAATCCTTAGAGATTCTCACCCCCAAGTCTGGGCAGCCAGCGGCCCAGGCTTCTGAGCGGAACATGCTGAATTCAGGGGAGGAGGAAGAAATCGGGGGGAGCACCTGGAATAGGGAGCAGGGGTGATGGGGAGAGGCTGGTGATGAAAATCAAATCAAGGGGCAGGGGAAGATGGGAATGAAATAAATAAGAGGAAGAACACAGGAGCAGAGGAGGGAGGTTGGAGAAAAGGAAAAATGGAGAAATAATGATTAAGGAGGGAGGAGAAGAAACAGAAGACAAAGCAAATGCAAAGTGGATAAGAGAAGCCTGGCAAGAGCAGAGACACCCAAACTTTACAGATGTCTGCACCCCAGGACAGTCAGGCCACATGCTTGCGGGAGGGAGGGAAGCAGAGCCTCCCATGCAGGCCGACTCCACTGGCACTGCTCGGTGATGTGGGGAGAGAACTGGCTGAGGTCTCAGGAGCTGGCAGACAAGTCATCCTGGACATCAGGACAGGAGAAGTTGGGGCAGCCTGGGCTGTGCAGTCTCTTGGGGTCAGTCTGCTTAGCCCATCTGGAATCACCAGCAGACTGCACGTGGCTTCTCAAGACACAACCTCTCGTCAGAACGGGCCACCGTGGTGATGGAGAACTCTGTGACAATGCTGGGCCGCTCAGCCTGAAGGTCATCAGCTCCTTGAAGCCACACAGAGGTCACTGTGTGCTGTCCATGCCAAGCCACACTGGGGCTGCTCCAGGCCCACAGCACGTGCTACCCTTGTCGTGCCCACCCGGCAGAGCCGCGGGTCTCACCTACCTCCTTCCGGGGTGGTGAACTCCTTGGTCTCACTGCGGGGCCCATCGCCTCTCCCATTGACCACAACCATCTCCAGCTTGTAGTTACTGTAGGGGAAGAGGCGGCCCACCACACCCCGGGTGCGGTCACTGGAGAAACTGGCTTGCTGTCTCTTCTGAGACACCCACAGGTTCTTCAGCAAGCTGCTCTCCCGCCAGTAGTAGGCCTTCGGGAAGAGGCAGGCTGGTGAGGGGTCGGGTGGCACATCGGTTAGTGGTTAGTGGTGGTGGCAGTGACTGGTCTTCCTTTTGTTCACTACAGGCTCCAAGTCCCAAATGGCCTCATTGGTTCCGCACAGGGCTGGGGCAGCCTCCTTGGAGTACCCCTCATTAGCCACTGGTGAATACGAATTTATGCTGAATGAACAATAGGGCTGTGGTTTTACTCATTTTCAGAACCATGGCCACCTGTTTGGGGAATGGGCGAACTTGCAACACTAGATCTGAGCTGCCCCATGCATCATAAGACGTAATTTCCAAGTTGGATAACGTATTGCTCAGGAGTCCAGGCTGGAACCACAAATAGGAGCCAGGAGGTCCAGCATGGAAACTTCTGCTCTGGGCTCAAAGACTGCATCACCTTGAGTTGATTAGTAAGGTTTAGATTGGCAGCAGGCGGGAGTTGACAAGGAGCAGGTTACCCCTGGAAGGCTGGATGTGAGCAAAGGCTGCTTTAATCCTTTGAAGCCAAACAGTTTCTTTTCCTATTGTTTGAAGACCTTCAGAGATGAGACAGACACATATCCAAGGGACAGTCACAAGTCCAAGTCAGTGGGGTGCAGAGCCGCATGGTGGTGGAGTTTGGGTGGGATAGGATGGCTATTGAAGGTGGTAGTATCACAGGGTGCAGTGGAGGATTGATTAGCGGTGGGAAGGAAGCCACAGGTCAGGCTGTCACAGCAGTGTTACCCATGCTGCCCAGAGCAAAGGAAGAAGTCCAGACTAGGGGCACCTGATGGGGGTTTTAGCCAGAAAAAGACCCAGGCAATAGGCGGGGGGCGCAAGTCAGCTGCTGGGAAGGAGCTCACTTGAGCGCCTTCCTTCTCCTATTCATCAGAGTCATTTTCCAAGAGAAGACTGACCCTCTCCACCATTAGCCAGCTCTTGACCTCTGAGGTCAGAGACTCAGCATTAACCCAGGGTTACAGCTTCTCATACTTCCCAGCCTACTTGAAATAGAAGGAGAGCTTTGCACACCCTGGGTTTTCTCTCCCATCTCCGCCCTCCCCTCCAAAGGCAGGAGCCTGGGCAGAGATAGGAGAAGCCAAGGGCCTGGACATCCCTCCTGCTGCAGAACCCCAACATGGCTGTGGCAACAGGGTAGACGCCTGTACCCTTTCAGTGGCTTTGCCTGTTAGTGGTGGCTTTCTGGAGCCACTGGGGAGGCGAACAGCAGGGCCTATGGGGGTAGGGGTGGAGCTCATGGAGTCTTAACACTGCACATGAAGAAATGTGTGTGTCCACTCACACACGTGTGAGGGAAGCATGTCAGCCCAAACCTACCACCCCTGTCAGGGTTTTCTGCTGAGCAGAAACTCCCAGCGGTCCTCTGTGAGACTCATCTTGGTGTGAGATATAGACGCAGTCACGAGCTGTGCATTACTGTTAGTGAAAGGACACACAGGTGACAGTGGCCCTGGAAGATTATAGTGGGGCTGAAAAAGTCCTATCACTTGGTGACATCATAGCCATCAAAATGTCACATCGCAATGCATTAGTCACATCTGTGACGATGTTAGCATAGACAAACCCACTGCGTGGTCAGGCCTGTAACAGTGAGGCACTTACCGTTACATGCAGTTCACAGTATTTGGTAATGTTAATAAACAACCACCGAGTGGGGTTATGTATTTACTATAGTGTACTTTTTAGTCATTATTTTATACTTTTCAATCCTTCTCTAAAAAGCATTTCCTATACCACAGTGTTATACTGGCGGCAGCTGCACACAGCTTGTGTTTACTTTGTTCCTTGATTGCATCAAGAGGCCACCCTGAGTGACAGATCTACACCAGGGAGGTTTGTACCAGCACACTCTGATTGCCTAATGACGCGTTTCTCAGGACACGCCCCCGTTATTAAGTGATTCATGACTGTACGCGTATTTTCTTCTGGGTAACTTTTGAACAGCTCATCCCAGACATCATCTTGAATCAATTGTGGATCCAATAAATTTCCCTAGTGCACTGCGCCCCATCTTTGCTACCCCTTGCCCTGGTTAGTGTGCCAGGCTGTTAGAGGATCAAGAGTGGCCTCCTCACTCGGTACTCCCGGAGCTGGCCCTGGACCGTGTCGGAGTAGACCCGGTTCCACTGCAGGCCGATGGCTGTGCTGTTCATGACTCGGACCTTAACGTCAGTGGGCGCGGCCCGGGGATCTGCAATGTGTTGGCAGACAGTGGGTTAAACAGGCAGGGCTGGCCCTTGGCTCCTATGTCCCATCTGATGTGCTTTTTGCTGGCCTGTCTCCACTCCACTGGATACTGGGGACTCCAGGAGGGCAGGGCTATGTCTCCTCTGTCAGGCTACACTTAGAGGAGTGGAGAAAGGCTCAGGGCAAGAGAGGAACAGTCCAGGTGAGAGAAAGCCTGCTTACAGGGCACTGAGTCGTGTCCTGTTCCACTCTCCAGCCTCCCCCAGCTGCCCTGTGGCCTGGTCAGCTACTCTTTCCAGACCTCATCTGCCGGACTCCTTTGTTCTCGGGCTCCTGGGTGAGTCAGGCCAATACGAGGTGCCAGCATGAGGCCCAGGGCAGGAGGGAACATGTTGCTTCCCTGGCTTTCTCTTTGCTGGGCTGCAGCTTAGCACTCTTCTACCCAAGGCTGTGGCTCCTTAGCATGACCCTCATAGATCGGCGTGATGCCTCCCTCTCTGGCTGTCCAGGCTCAGAGTGGCGTAAGTGCTGCTAGCCTTGAAGAGGTTCATGTGCCTTGCTGTGTACCCTCTAAACCTGTCCACACACTGTCAACAGTCCCTTCTGAATGTCATGTTTTCTGTCACAGACTGGAGATGCTCTAACCTTACTCAGGAAGTGAGTCTGATCCTGCAACCCCCCAGGAAGGGAGGACAGTTCCCTCCTATCTATTCTCTGCTCTGCTACAGTGTGACTGCCCTGGCCCTCTAATCCACCAGAGCACAGGCACCATGGTAGACAGGAAACTGGGATAGTCCAGCAAGCCCACAGCCAGACACTGCCCTGTCCACGCTTACCACCCAGCATTCCCACTAGACCCTTGTCTGGAAGTGGAGGTGAGCAGTGGACAGAATGCTCGCGGACCCCTTGTCTCATCTCCAGTGGGTCCAACCCATAGCCAGCTCTGGGGCTCAGCCCTCAAGTCTGCTACCTCTCTGGCCCCAGCACTGCCTCTTCTGAATCAACTTTCTCCCTCTTCCCTTCCTTCTGCTCCCCTCCGCTATGCTCTCTTCTTGGATTGGGCACAGACCCAATGGGGCAGCGGTCACCCTGAGCCAGGAGGGGACTCTGCTGATCGGCTTTGCTCAGGAGCCTGCGGAACTGAGTGCTGGGCACAGAGAAGCTACCACCCTCTGGAAAGCCAGGTGCACTGCCACAGACATGTCTAAAACCTGACTTTATCCCTGCCACCTCCACAGAACTCTTTATGCTCAGTTCTGAGGGCTGCGAGCAGTGCTGGGAACGCTGGCGGGTGGCTGGTCTGGTGCTCTGTAGACTTCCACAGCACTCAAGACTTGCACTGACCGCAGGAGGAGTCTGGCCTGTGGCCCAGCTTCCTTGAGGTGCTGAATGATAGCACTCTGAGGTGGATAGGAAGAGGCCTTCTAGGGGCCTTGCTTGGGATCTAGAGACCTGAGGAATGTTTTCAAGCCTGATGCATGCTACCATTATCTATGGATCAGGGCTTTCTCTTTGGGCTTCAGTTTTCACAACTGCAGAATGTGAGCGCTGGACTGTGATAATATTTGGCAATCCTAACAATGTCAGACGATCCCCCCAGCATGCTCCAGGTCACTGTAGGGTATTTCTCTTTCTGGGAACCAGCCGCCCTTCCTGACCCTCCTTGAGGTTTCTGGCCTGCAAGTGGCCTTGTGTGGCCTGGCTGCAGGATCCTGCTGGGGAGGAGGGGAGAGGCAGGTACTCACAATCTTCTCCGGAGTAGCCGATGACAGTGTCAGGCTCTGGGCCCTTCCCAAAGTCATTCTCAGCCTGGACCCGGATCTCGTAGGGCACATAGACAGGGGTCTGCCCCACCACATAACGGGAGCCCCACACCGTCACGTTGTTCCACGTCTCTCGAGTCTCTCTCCGCCTCCACTTGACGATGTAGCGCAGGTTGGGTCCAAAGGCGGAAGTGGCATTCATGGGCTGCATAGGGACAGACAGACAGGCAGGCAGGGTAAAGGGTACAGTTGAGAGCTGAGTTCACCATTGCTTGCCCTCTCTTTCTGTGCCAACCCCTTCCTCACCAAGGTCTGTCCAACACTGGCCAGCCTCCCACGCAGCAGGGAGGGGAGAGCACACTCTTCCTCTGCTGAGTCCCCAAAGCCTAGAATCCTACAAACTCTGTAGCATGCAGAGGTTTTTTTTTTTTTTTTTGAGACAGGGTCTCACTCTGCAGTTCAGGTTGGCATTGAACACACCATGGAGCCCAGGCTGGCTTCGAACTCACGATCCTCCTGCCTCAGTCTCCCAGCATGTAATGTTTCTATAACTAAAGTTTTACCTGAAACACAGCCATTTGTCAGTACAAAGGAAGTAAAGGCTTTGTTTTCAACAGTGCTCCCTCCTAGGACAAGAGCAGCACAACAAAAGCCAGACAGTGAGCTGGTCTTCTCCAAAGTCAGCAAAGGATGAATTTTGGCTTTATCATAGCATGCCGCCTGCCGATGAGCCCAAAATTCCAGAGCTGAAGTTAGTTCTACCCAATCCATGTGGATCTGTCCTGCCCTTCCCAAAAGATCAGCGTTCTTGAAGACTTTCCTTTACACTCTAATAACCTGGCCCAGGAATCACACCCACCAGGCAGAGCTGTAGGCCTTGTGTCCTAAACCTGGGCTCAGCCCCGAGCTGTTGCTGGGTGTGGCCGCGGTGGGTGGGGACCAGGCCCTCAGAGGCAGGGACAAGGGTGACTCCATACTCTTTGTCTCCTGATTTCCACTCCTTGGGGCAGCAGCTTAGAAATGCTAATAAGTCTTGGCTGCCTTTCTATCTCTCAGACTTGGAAGCAGTTTAGAAAGAAAGTCACCTGTAGATCACACATCCCAATTTTGAATTGGAAAATGTAGTCCATGAAGAACGGACTTGACCATCCTGGCCAGGAGGTGGCCCTTCGTGTCATCCAGCCACTCTGTAACTAAGAGTGACCTGCCCTGAACACGTCCCTGATGCTCCCAACAACTCCACTGCCAAGACCAGAGGACACACCAGAGCACAGTGTGGGGGCTCCTCCCGCCTCTCCCCTGAAGTCTAACTCAAGTCCCTTCTTCAAAAGAAGTTCCTTTTATTTTCCTGGCATTCTCTGTGAACTCTGCTAGACTGGCAGTCTATGAAATTTGGTTACCTCCATTCCTGTCTTCTCTGATACCTGGCTCCTGAACACATGTCCTGTTTGGTTTCTGGATGCCCGACTCAGAGAGGAGCTTGTCTCAGAGAAGGGCAGCTACAAAAACAGCTACATAGTCTGAACCCCACTGGTCTCAGGGTGTAAGGAGAGGGGACTCTCCGGCTACCAGGCTGGGTGGGGAGCGCCCCCTACCGTCCATGTGATCTCCATGTTGTTCTTCCTGGTCCCCTCTCCCTTCACATCGCTGGGATTGGACTCCGGGGCTGGAACCCAAACAGACACAAAGTTGAAATCCAGTGTGTGTGCCTTGCCAGGCAACCCACCTCCCTCTCCTTGGCCGGTCCTTTCTACGCGCTGGCTTTTCTCAGCACCTATACGCCTGAACTCCCTGTCTTTCTCCCATGTGTATGATATGCCTTGCTAGCTAAGACTTAAACTCCCAAAGCAGAGCTAATTTCCTTCCAATTTTAATCCCTTACCAGACAGCATTTATCATGAGGCTTTCCACACTGCGGGTGGTCAATAAGCCAACTCAACACGGATTATCCCCTCATGTATTATCCACTAAATATGTTTCATACCAGACTGCTTTATCCCTGGCATTTCACATCTTTTTTGGGAACATCTCCATCCTTTATGAGTTGCTGCAGTATCAGAAATCTAAACACTCCCCAAGTACATCAGGGGAAGAAATCTGATATAACATCAGATTATACATTTCTGCTGCACATAATCGTCACAGCCTCCCCCTTTCAGCAGACAATCAAGAATCAACAATAATATCAATACTAATAAAAGTGGCAATTAATATTTACTGTGTGTGCTTACTATATGCCGGGCATCACAGTAAGCACCTATCATGCATTTTCAAGTGGAGTTCCCCAGTAGCCCCGTGACACAGACGTAATGATTATTGTTCCGTCTCACAGATGAAGGGCTGAGCCTTGGAGAAGTACCTTGCCCAAGTTCACATGGCTGGGAATGGAGGGAACTTAGCAGGAACTCAGGATGCCTGGCTCCAAGCTGTCTCTGGTGCTCCCAAGTACTCACGTGCTCCGCTGGTTCGGTACCGCTCAGATGGGAGGCTGGGGTGGCTGCTCCCGACCTCATTGATGGCAATGACCCGGAACTGGTAGTTGACATAGGGGGACAGCTGGAGGACAGCTGAGTTCACACTGCCTGGGAACTTGGAATGGTCATGCCAGACCCCTGGTTGGAACTGGTCCTCCTCAAACTGGACGATGTAGTCTGCGTGGGCCAGGGAGACAGAATTGCTTTGGGGGCTGGGTTAGCGACATCCTACTTTAAAGTACTTTCTCCTTGGCTTCCCTTCATCTATATAATCGCCCTCGGGGCTCACAGAGGCATGGAAAGCAATCAGGGAGAACAGCCAGGGCACACGCCAGGGAGGGCAGAGGTGGGGCATGACAGCAGGGAAGGCCTGTGCTCCAGTCCAGCGTTACCAGCCCTCCTCTCTGGCTTTGGAGCACAGGGCCCTGAGCTGACCTGTGATGGGGCTGTTGTTATCATCTCCTGGAATCCAGGTGAGCCTCACACTCCGCTCGGCCAGGTCGGTGAGCTCTAGGTCCCGGGGGCGGTCTGGCCGTCCTGGCAGTAGGAGGAGAAGGCATCATGCAGGACTCCCAAGTTGGAGCGGAGCCCTCCACACGGTGGCCCAGCCTGGACAGTTCCCTGGTCGAGGTTTAGGTCCCCAGTGCCAGCAGGATCCAATCCTAGCCTGCCCTGCAGGTTGTCATGGGGATCACCCCTTTTCCTCTAGGGGACCCCCAAGTTCCACCCCCACCCAAAATAACATCACAGGATGTAAAGCACGGGCATGGAGAGAGAACGGGGGCGCCCTCCTGTTTCCGTGGACATCCTTAGGGCAGTGTTTGGAAAAGGCTGCCTTCTTCATCAGAAAAGCTGAGGCGGGAGTGTGGGATTTGCTCTCCTTTTCTCCTGACAGTCACCTTCTGCTCTGGGTTCCAGGGCTGAGTGAGGGGACCAGAGCCCAAGACCGGCCTGCAGTGCTGAGCAGGGCAGGAGGCCAGGGAAGCGGGAGAAGACCTGGATCATCCGGCCAGGGAGGAGACACAGATTTAGAGGGGCCCAGCAGGCTTCCACACGAGGTGAGGGCAGTGCTTTCCTGGAGCTCCGGTCCCCTGGGACTGCTTCAGTGAGGACAGTCGCATCCTGGCCTGGGCATAAAGCCATCTAGCCACTGACTGCTGGGGTAGCCAAGATACTTTTCTACATCTTGGCTCCCTAAACAGCTATTTCCATATTCTGGCTGGTTACGGAGGGCGAGTCACGTGAGAGTCCATTAGTCTGCATGTACTTGTGTGTGCACATGTGTGTGCACGTGTGTGGGCAGACTCTAAATGGATACAGAGTAGCAGGTGTGGGGAGGCTGCAAACAATGACACCACAGACCCCAGGGACTTTCCTGAGCTCTCAGGCCAAGCAAGGGCAAACAGGCCCCACCAAGGGAGAGGTGATGTGGCCAAGGCAAGGAAAGAGGACTAGCGTCAGCTAAGGACTTCTTGGCTCAGTCTACAGAAGAAGCCCAGAGCAGGGTATGCCACTAGCTCAAGGAGAAGGTGGGCGGAGGCACCCGAGAGGGGTCCCATGTTGTGGGGTGTGCAGGGTGTTGCCAGGAGCCCACAGACCACAGTCCTCTCCTGCAGCGCCTTCTTCCTTTGGCTCTCCCCCCCAGGTTCCTGGATAGGCCACTGGCCAGGGCCCAGGATTAGTAGGAATTACCTTTGGGCAGGGCAGCCAAACGGTTAGTTGGAGTGGCCTGATCAGCTGCAAAGGGAAGACGGGTTATGCAGGTTAGCGCGTTACAAGGGTAGAGGTGTGCTGGAAGGATGGGGATTGGCGGCCGGGCCCGGAACGCGGCCCCTGGCTAAGGCAGTCCTGGCACAGCGCACCCTCCCTTCTGCGGAGAGCCTCCCACCTCACAGAGCCTGTCCTGTCCTTCCACGGCTCTGGTTCCTTCCCATCCTAACATGCCTGGGTCCACCAACTGCCACCACTCTGTCCTCCACTGCAGGAGCGACAAAGGCACACATTCTCATGGCAGTAGGATGCCCAGAAAGAGGACAGGGTGGGGCAGGGATGGCAGGGGCTCTGGTGCCCTGGAAGGGACAGGCCACCTTCCCCTGGGAATGGGACAACTTAGTGTCTGCAGTCCAGCTTGGACACAGCACAGGAAGAGGTGGCACAGCTTGCTTGGTGCTTGGCACACTGAAGTGTCCCCAAGAAGGAGGAGCAGCATGAGAGGCGAGAAGGGTTTGCAAGGGCTGCTGGGAACACAGACAGAAACCCCAGCCTGGCCTTAGTGCTGGGTCCTGTAAACTGACTTAGTGGAGTTAGCCGTGAGGCAGGTAAAGAGGATCACAGTAAGAAGTCCTCCCCTTGTTGCTGTGGTGTGCTTCCGCTGGGGTTTAGGGAATTAATAATTACACACCAGAGAAGGGACCACTGAGCTGCCCCACAGTTTGTCCTGAGAGTGGCAGCGCCCGAACCCAGGGACCAGAAGGATGGCAGGAGGTCACCATGCCTGGCCAGTTGCTGACAAGGTGCTGCCCTTGGGACCATGTGGGGCTCACTGCTGGCCTGGCTGCTGGGGAGCAGGGAGGAGGGAACATCAGTGCTTGGTGTGGGTGGTGGCAGTTACCTAGCACGGTGAGGTAGGCCTTGGCCAGGTCTTGGTCCAGCTCGGTGCTGGCCACACATGTGTAGCTGCCCTGGTCTCGCTCTGCCACACCAAAGATGGTCAAGGAGTCGTCTTCCTTCTTCATCCTGCAGAAGCACGGTGCAGGGGGTGGGTTGGGAGCTGGGCACTGCCCGCGGCTTCTTCCCGCATGGCGAGATGGGAAAAGGAGGAGGGAAGCAGCAGGCCCAGATGGGAAGCCATGGCTCCTCCTAGGAGAAGCCTCCTGATGCCCTGAGAGATGCCAGGTCTGCAGGGCCCCTGGGAGCACTCGCCCCATCAGGTGCACAGCATGCAAAGGAGAGAAAATGGCTCTGAACGTGCTTTAACTCCCCTGGGAGGGAGGCTCGGCCAGGGGTCCTCAAGTCTGACTGTGCATCGGAAACCCTCAGAGGGGCCTTGAAAAAACGATCACCACCTGAGTCTCACCCCTATGCCAGTGAAATCAGAGTCTGGGAGAGAAGTGGGGGCCCGGGAAGGTGGAGGGAGGGCTGATAACCATGCTTGGCGCAAAATAGAGGGTAGGGACAACTCTGTCCTCTACTGGACAACAGCGGTACTGCACACAGGGCTTGAAGCAGAGAAGAAAGATCGAGGGAAGCAAAGGAGAGGGAGGGAGGGAGAGAAGGAGCGAAGAGCAAACGACTAGGGGAGAGGAGGAAATGGAGAGAAGCGAGATGGAGGAGAGCAGCAGGGAGCTGATAGAAGAGAGACAAGGAGAAGGATATAGTGTGAGGAGGGCAGCCTGCTCTAGGAGGGGAAGTCACCATGGCTGTCTCCTCCTCCCTGATAGCTTCTTGGGAACATGCATGACCAAGGAGCCAGGGAAACCAGAGTGCCCCAACGCTAGCATCAGGAAGAGGGGAGGGAGGGCAGGAACCTGTTTCCAATGTAGAGCGGCTCGTCATCCTTCAGCCAGGAGACAGTGAGCCTCAGCGAGGGGTCGTGCTTCACGCGGCACTCCAGCTGCACTGCGGTGCCCCTCTTGGCAACCTGGTCCTCAGGCATCCGGAAGATCCTGGTGGGGTCTGCGCAGACATCCAGGGAGCTCACCATTCACCTGTTCTTTGCCCACCACCCCCATGTGGCCACACAGCGTCACATGACTGACCTTGAGGGCATGGGTCTGCCACGGAAGGTGGCAGAAATAGTATGTGGGGGTAATGGTGTGGGTGATCAAACCCAGTAAACACTTCCTCCTGGCTTGGGGATATGATACCATGTTGGGGGTGGTAGTGGAAGCTGGTGTAGACAGTGGCTTTCTTGGGCCCTCTGGATCAGGCTGATAATAAGCTGCCTCAGTGTCCTCAGCACACGGGTCAGCTGGTAGCTCAGGGGACATGCAAATGTACGTGGAGGAGCCCTCCCAGGATGAAGGAGTAGGTGGGGCCTTTTCAAAGGGGACACATAACTGTAGTGCAGCCTTCTTGCCCCACCGCAGCTCCTATCTGTGAACCCTGTCCTTTACCTTTGACCTCCAGGCGCACTTGGTTTTCAGCCTTGCCTAGGATGTTGGTGGCAACACAGGTATAGATGCCTTGGTCCTCTTTGCGGATCATCTTAATTTCCAGGCTGCCGTTCTCATAGACATGGTAGTTGCCACCATCCAGGTTGCTTCCCTGCCCATTCTTAAACCTCACAACAGAGCAGCAGAACACAGCATACTGAGAAAGGACCAGCCCAAGAGAGACAGAGACTGCAGGGGCCGTGGAAGGAGCCTCAGGCTGGGAACTGGAGTCTTAAACCTTGCAGGGTCTGTCTCTGACCACTAGGTGGCCCTGGCAAGTCTCAGCCCCTCTTTGGGCCTTGGTTTCCTTCTCTGTAAAATGAGGGGATTGACCCAGAGCACTGGCCACCTTCCTCCCAGGTTTGATGCTTTAAGGGTCCCAGGTCTGGGTGAGTACTACTACAGGCCGGATGGGAACCAGAAAGGTGAGACAGATGACCGCTGTGGAGGCGGATCTGCCTCCTGAGACTTACCATCGCAGGGTGGGAATAGGAGACCCAAAGAATGGGCAGTCCAGCCGTGTCCGGTTGTAAAGGATCACCCGCATGAGCTGGTTCCGGGGTGACAGCATCCGAGGTGGGACGTCTGAAATGCCCAGAGTGCTAGTAGTGGGTGTGGAGTTCAATTCTTCCATTCTTTACTGCTCAGTCTAATTTCTGTACATCCTCCCCTCACAGCATCTTACCAGGCACCCAGACACCTTCCCCATCAGCCTTCCTTCCCAGAAGCCTCTAAGGGTTAGGTGAGGAAGGAGGAAGTTTGCCTTTTGTCTGCCCTACACCTGTTCACATCCACACCAGCTTTGCAAAGGTTTTCCTGCAAGTACCCTGCAGGTTCAGTAGCTGCCCTTCCACAGCCCTCTTCATGCTCAGGGAGTGTGGTGAACATGCTCACAGCCATTTCCCACAGGAGACAGTGGGGGAACCCCATGGAGTCAACACGGGCACGCCAAGCACATGAGCCAGACTTGCTCTCTCTCACCAGGGGAGGGAAGCAACCAAGACTGGCTTCTCTGATGCAATTAACGCTGCTCATCTGACTCTGAGGAGATGAAGTCCTCCATCCTTCCCATGAGCCTCATCTGCAGTGTCCATGCTTCCCCCTCACAATGCTCTCACACCTGTCCAGTCTTTTTAATCTCCAGAGGACAAACTGCACCCGGGACGAGGCCAAGCCCCTGGGGGAGGGCTCACCCAGCACACTGACGAAGGCATTGGCCAGCAGGTAGCCATGCTCGTTGGAGGTGTTGCACTGGTACACGGCCCTGCTGCTGATCTGCGTGTCCCGGAAGATGATGGTGTCACCAGCCACCTCGCGGTTTGGGTTGGGTGGTGCCGCTAGAGATAAGGAGATACTCCTCATGAGGAACAGAGTTTGGCAGAATGAAAGGCACTTGAGGTGCTGGCAAAGACCCAGAGTATGCCCAGAGTGCTGTGGAAGAGGCAGAACTGCATGGGTCCTGGCTGGTGTCACCACTGGTCAAAGCATGTGACCCTTGACCCTACTGGAGTCATGTTTCTCAATCTATCCAGTGGGAACATGAATCCGTGCTCAACCCAGCTGGGCAGCTGTGGTTAAGAATATAAGATCTGGAAACAGAAACATAAGCTTTGGAAACAAAAATCTAACCACATCCCCTACAGTATTATTCAGACCCTCTAAGCTTCAATTTCCTGCTTTGAAGAATGGGGATAATGCATCATCCCACAGGGATTTTGTGACAATAGCCTGAGATGTATACATTTATAAAATGATTAGCATAGATACAGCAACACTGTATTATTGTGACTATTATCATTTTAATCCAGTGTTCATATAATTAAATGTATTTTGAAAAGGATAAAGCAACATAAAATGGACAGAACCCACCACCTTGCCATCCTCAGAACAGAGCTTTCCCCAAATACACACAAAGTTAAACCCATATGCCAATGTCCCACGCAAACTGCAAGTCCTGTTTGCTGAAGCCCCCCGGTCTTCCCTAGAAACCTATTCCAGGCAGGCCAAGGGCATTCCCCACCCGCAGCTCTCTGTGCGCTGCTGCGGGGGTGCAGCGAACACAGGCTGGGCACAGCTGTGGGCATTGGTCCTGTCCACATGTCACTCTGGGGCAAATCAATAAATCTTTCTGTTTCTCATTTTCCCCACCTGTAAAAAGGATAAGCGTCACTCTCATCTTCCCCTGGTCTAAGGAAAAGTAGTATCAGTGATAATGAGCTGTAAAAATAAACATTTTCTAGAAAACTAAAGAAAGGCCACTTTTCTCTTGAACCCCTAGATTTTTGTCCTGGAGCTCAGAGAAGATCACTGAGTTCTGCCAGGGGCATGGCAGAGGAGGAAGTAGGGGTCTGGTGTAAAGGCGCCATGCCACAGATGGCAAGTCTGGGTCAGGAACTGGGGAATCAGCAGAAGGTAAATGAAGACATGGTCGGCAGCCTTATCACCTAGCCTCAGGTCCCCACTCAGCAAAAGGCACGAGGACAGCAGTGCCAGTGACTCGAGTGTCCATTAGCCTGCCTGTTCATCTCAACCAACCCACTTTCCTGCCAGTCAGTCCCTTCAGATGCTCCCTCAAAAAGGTGTCCTTTCCAGGGCTGATCCTCCAGGACTACACTTATCTCACTATGCTGTGAAGCTCAGCAAGCCCTGCTTTACTTGCAAAGTTCTATCAGGACAGAGAGACCTGCAGGAGGCAGGACAGGCCACGTATACATCTCTGCTCACAGCTGCGGGAAGGAGGTCTCAGGCTGGGCCAGGCGAGGGCTTGTGAGCCACTTGATCTCAGCCACTCACTGCACCAATCAGAGCCTCCTCTCCCCAGCTTGCATGTTTGGGATTGGAGAGATAATGGGTGCAGTAGCTAGCACCATGCCTGGCACACAAGAGATGTCTAGAAGGGTGCGTGCTTCTCTATCTCCTCTGTCTCACTATCTGCTTTGATCAGCTGCTGCTCAGGTTGGATTCTGAGTTCTCGCCTATATTTTGCCCCATTTGGTTGATCTCACTGCTTATACTTCCTCTGACTCTTCACAGAAAGTAATGACAGGACATTTTAAAAAATGCAAGTGGAGAGGATATGATGTGAAAACTTGATCAAGACCATAGGCTGCAAGGGGGTGTGAAGTACCCTATTCTGACCATCTGGGCAGGAATACAATTTCCCAAAGTCTGCATCCATGTACCTCTGCTCTTGTGGGAAAATTCTTCCTCACATCCAACCACGATCTTTCACATTGTCACCTAACCCTGCCTCTTATTTTGCCCTTATCAGACAGTATGGCTTGATTAACCAATGTCAAGTGATTACTAAGAGCTCTCTAAGCACCAGACATTCCTCAGAGTCCAAACCCTCCGAGATGCAGCTGCAGGCCCAGACCTACACTGGGCTCCATAGTTGTTATGGAGCAGGGAACAAAGACTGAAGAAAAACCCAAGGGAGCAGAAATCCCTAAACATGGAAATAGAACCACAGGGCTCCAGGCCTCCCGTTCTTTCTTGTACAAAGAGGAGGCAGGTTCCCCACCTCTTGCAATGTCTAAAGGGGTGAGCTGCCGGCAGGCAGCAGCCATGGGCTCCTCTCTTCCTTCACCCCTAGTACACACAGGCAGTGATGGGGATCTGGAGCCTTTGGCAGGACAGAGAGGAGAGCCAGGTAGGACAGCAGCTTGTTACTTACACTGCAAAGGCTCCCCGTTCACCATCCACTGGACAGTGGGTTTGGGGTTCCCATTGGCTCTGCACACCAGTCTGCCATCTTCTCCAGGAGCCAAGATCAGATTCTTGGGTTCATCCAGCCAGTAGGGGGCAGCTGGAAGACAAATGAGGCACAGGCGGGGAGTCAGCTGGCATGGGGCCGGCAGGGGGACCCAGACAGGTTCTCTGGAGGAAGGCAGGAACCCAGGTCCAGTATCAGACCCTCAGCAGCTTCCCAGGGCTCATCCTCATGGTGATGGCCCAGTCCAGCCTGCACGTGGCTGGTGTGGGTGTGCAGATGCCCATCTGTTTACTCAAGTTCACAGAACTTTAGTTCTAAAGTGAGGCCAATCATGAGGATTTGCTGAAGGCTTTTTAAAAAACAAAGCACGAGACCATGAGGTGGCGTTCATCTCCAACCTACTATACCAGTTGTGGGGTCGAGCAAGGAAGTTGCTAACGCCTTCAGAGGTCACGGGTATTTATGAGGTGTACCTAATGGTTCCACTCACAGCCCTGGGGGCGCTGGGTTGCTCCTTCTGGATTTCCACTGTTGCAAGACCAGATCATCTAGAAAAGCCTTATATTCATCTTTTTAGGCACTGAACTTTGGTTAGGGCAGATCTGAGCTGCCTACCCCTTTTAATTATTTTGTGGATATGTGATTTTTCTGAGGAAAGGATCTTTTGGATCAGATTCTCAAATATCTTGTTACATGACTTCCCCAAAAGGCTAGGAACCCCTAAATGTGGTGCAGTACTGAAACCAGGATCACAAGACCAATCAACTCTGCGCTAGGAAAGTTCTTGTGCTCTGGTCCCAGACCTCGCTGTTCCAATCATCCACACAGCCCTAGGCTGAGATGTGACCTGAGTTACCCACATGGCTGGGACCCATGAGGACAGGTGCCCTGGTGCCTGCAATAGCTCAGCTGGGCCTTCTCTGTAGGAAGGAAAGGACTGAAAAAAATGTGGGGCCATGATGACTCCCCATCCTTCAAAAGAAGCGTAATACCATGCACACATATACAGACAGCACAAGCCTAGGACAACAGGTCACAGACAGGGATGCAAAATGAAAGAAAGAAAAGGCTCTGACAATGATCCAGATGGGCCATGGTAGGAAACTCACCTGCTGAGGGAGCCTTGGCATCAAAGAGAATTGGGTGATGGTCAAAGTAGAACACTCCCTGCCTCCCACACACACGTGTGTGTGTGTGTGTGTGTGTGTGTGTGTGTGTGCCCACTGCGTGTCACATCCAGGGCAATACTACCTGTGGCAGGTCTCTGTTCCCATCAACCACTGCATTGAATTAGCTTTGTTTAGTCTGCCCCCTAACACGCTCAGAGGGAAGGGTGGTCATGGTGTTTAGGGTTGGCAAAATAATCATAATGAGAAATACACACAACGTACCCTTTACTCTCACCGAGATCGTGTGCCGGATACTGCCCATCTTGTTGGAGGCCAGACAGAAATACTCCCCAGAGTCTTCCTCTGAGACATTGGTGATGCGCAGTGCCTTGTTAAAGTTCTCAAACTTGGCTTTGTCAGATGGGAGGTCCCCACCTTTCTTGTACCATGCGATGTCTGGTGTTGGGCTGGTAGGGAGACCAAGCAGGAAGCAAAAGACTCATTACAAAATATAGCCTATGGCTTCTAGAGAGCCTGGGGCACCAGATTTCCTGAAAGTACCTGGGCCCAGGAGGATGCAGATCCTCAGAGAGACAGTCTTTCCTATTCAGAGGATGCTCAGCCACAGAGGGCCCAAAGGACTAAGCTCCCAGGAGATAATACTGCACATGTCAGAGGCCCAACCACTCCTTTCCTCATTATCTAAAACACAGGTGGCTAGCATGGGAGGGAGATGACTATGATTTGCAAAATCCTGCTTATTAGGGGCTTCCCTGCTTATTAGTCACCTTGCCTTCCTGCTGTACTACTGGTACAACCCCAAAGGCAGCAAGAACAAGCACAGACAAACTCCCACCCCATCCTCCTGGAGGATGGCTAGAAGTGGGGTGCAAACTGTACATACACCCCAGAAGCGATGCACTCTAGCAGAAGGTCCATGCCGCGAAGCACCATCTGACTGCTTGAGGTACCCTGGGGATACATGAAGCTGGGTGTTCTTTCTGCAACTCCTCGGGCTGAAACAGGACAGAAGAAGCTCTTGTGAGTCTCTTGCTTGGAGGGCTGACCTAGATAGGCCAAAGCTGTCCAGCCACAGAAGTGTCATCGTGCCCCCTGCTGGACCCTCCCAGCCCCAACCATCCCAGGATATCAGTAAGAGAGGTGTGTTAGGAAGCCTGGGTTCCTCGGCCCCACCAGCACATGTGTGAGACCCGCTCTAAGATCTGGAAGGTCCTGTAGAGAGGAGTCCAGCAAATCTCCCCTTCTCTGGGACAGGGAGGGGGCTGTCTGGGCAGTGAGAGGTCAGTTCCCTGAGCATCTTATGTTGGGGTCCCACAGGCCACGGTGGTGGTCCCCATGTAGGGATGTGGAAGACAGAGACAGCATGGATTGGGGCCACACAACAACCTGCTCTTTGGGACCCTGAAGACAAGAGGTGGGATAAAGCCATGAAGCCCCAGATAAACACTAGGACATGCAAGGAGAGTTATTTATGGCTTAGCAAAGACATGTCGAGAGTTAATGAGCAGAGATGACAGGAAATCACTCTGGGCCCAAGATCATTTCTGCTTCCTCACTAATGACTCTGGGAGGGGGCTGGGAGGAGGGCGTTAGCTGCGTGTGAGATACAGGGGCAGGGGTGAGAGGAAAGTGGGAGCGAAGATGGATAGGGTGATCTACAATTCAACTAGGCAGGAGCAGCCAGGGCTGGAATCAATGAAGTTCACGCAGCTTTTAAAGGCCAGGTGGCTCCTGATAGTGTCAGGACGGCCACTGTCACGCCAGCCTGGGTGCCTCCGTAAGGAGCGGAGCACCCCGCAGTGGAGCCTCATCTCTCCCCCAGAGCTCTTTGTAAGGCTCTATGGAAATGGAAGAGATGAATGGAGAAAAGTAGGATTTCTCCAACCAGAAACTCCAGGGAAAAATGGAGGTGGCACCCCCTGCCCAGGAGGTGTGTTTATAAAGAAGACTCAAAGATCAAAACATGAGTGCAGCCTACCCACTGCGTCTTAGACTCATCTGGTCAAGTGGGAGGTTGGGGGAAGGTGTTGCCAGAAGCTGGGGGCCCTCAGAGATGCCTGGAGTTAGAGCAAAGCCTCTGTTCCAGGGTTAACTGGAACTGGCAGTGGGAGGAGAGAGTGGCGGGGACTATCTCTGTAACTGGTGCTTCCTAACGAAGCTTGCTGGGTTAACTGGTGCCTGGCTCAACCAGGGCAGTTCCTGACCAAGGGATACTCAACTTCTTTCCCTTGGTCATCGTGGAGGGCATCTCACAGACTTTGCTTCTATTTTGCCCTTTTTCCAGGGAAGAAAGGATGAAACATATGCTGGGGTATTTGAGCTGCTGGCACAAAACACGGGACAACAATAGATGTTCGTAGGACAAATGAATTAAAGGGGGGAAACGGAACAAAAAACGACAGCAACAGTTCACCCCACACATTAATCTCTCTTTTTGTACAGGTCTTCATCTGCCCCACCAGCACACACATACACAACAGTGACTACTGAAGGGTTAATCCATTATGTGGTTAATTGGTTACCACCTGTGCATACAGCACTCACATCCAGATCCCAGAGGTAAGACAGCACTTCCTCCCACCCATCCTCAGTCACCAAAACAGTCAAGCAACACACGGTCAAGGATACTACGAGGACGAGATTTCAGGGCAGCAGGCTCTCGCGTCAGGTTGGTGAGTCTGTTGAGAGCTGGGAACCCTGCGACGATGTGGAAGAGTCCCAGCTCAGTGTTCATGCTCATTCCAAGCAAGGACTAATCTGCAGAAACCAGTCTGTGAGCCTGTGGACACTTAATTCACACCACTGCATGCAGCACCACAAGCACAGATGACTAGCAAAGCAGTAAGAGTGGGGAGGAGGAAAATCAGCTCAGAGTCCCGCTGTCGTGCTGTGTCACATGGTCGCTGTAGCCAGAATGAGGCTGTAATAATACTGCATTTAGGGGATGTGGACTAGCAACCCCAGAGTTATCTCAAGGATGGAGAAGTGACTGGGAACAAGCCAAGTTCAAAGAAAAGGAAAAAACAGCCTAAAAGTCAGAGGAAATGGTCAAGGCTCCCACCAGGGAGCATTTATTGAGGGCCAGGTTATTGAGTGGACAGCTCTATCTGTCTCACCATGAGGTTGAACACAAATTTGGTGGGGTACCACTCCATTTCTAGCAGAGAAAACTGAGGCTCTGTGAGGTCAACAGAAAAGTTCGGGTCACAAGCTCATAAAGTTTTAGATTCTAGGCAATTTGTCACCCAAACTTGTGTTCTGTACCTGCTTTAAATTGCCTGTCCAAAGATGGAAGCCCTGTTTGTCCCTGCTTTTTGACAGTCAATTTTGCAACTTTTTAAAAAAATCCAAGCCAACAAAAGTCAAAATTCAAGGTCAAAAGAGGTGAAGGAGAAAGATATTTTTGTCTTAGTGAGCTGCGTGGTAAAACTGCCGTGGTGCTCTACTCTTCTCCTATTTTCAGCTAAGGTCCACCTCTCATTCACGCCTCTTAGGTAAACTCAGACTGGAGCTGTTGAAAAAGCAGCTGCAGCAGGTCTGAGGAGGCTCAGAGGTACAGCAACTGGACTCTTTTCTTTTTTCAGTACTGAGATTGAACTCAGGGCCTTCACAAGAAGCCGTGTCCCCAGCCCTTTTGTATCATCATTATCATCATCATCATCATCATCATCATCAAGTTCCCCAGGCTGTATTTGAACTTGTGTGACCCTCCTTCCTTAGCCTCCCAAAGTACTGGGTTTATAGGTGTGTGCCACTGTGCTTGGCTCAATTGGATTTTGAAGAGCGTGGAAAATTTGCAAGAGTCAGGGTGACACACAACATCATTAAGGAATGAGGAGGCTGATACTAAGGGTAGGTTATGAGGAAATGTGGTCAGTTGCAGCAGTGAGAATTTACATGAAAATTTTGGCAGGATGATCCAGCTGGTGGCTTTGGGAGGCACTGTTCTCAAGAGTGCGCCTGATTTCCCTTCCCAGAAAAGCAGGTGCAGGAACTGCCAAGACTCAGCTAGTTACTGTATGAGCTCTACACAGGAGAAGACGTGTGTCTCTCCCTGTGTGTCAGAGGACAGCCTCTTTCACCACAAAGGCAGGGGTTCCTGGACAGCCTGTCCACACTGATGATGTTCTGTCACTCTTCCTGATCTACAAGGTAGGGTCTGACTTAATATCCAACCAACTCCAGAATCCAGTTGCTACAGCTCATGTCTGTGGGGTTAGAGCAGAGCTGCCTGGATGGACCCTGCTGACCTGTACCGTCTTTCTCCTGTTCTCACAAGCTGTGGCTGAGTGGGTCCCCGCAGTTCACCAGAGAATGTCAACAGGTGTATTTTCGGAGCTCTGCCAAAGCCAGCTTTTAGGGGCAGCTCAGCTCTTACATCCTGACTGCTTTGCTGCCTTTGATTCTCAGAATAGAGGACCAGAGACCCAAGGGACTGGGTCTCTGGCATCCCATCCATCTCTTCAGCTCTAGGAATGGCTGACCAGAGGTGCCCAGAAGATGAGGACAACTCTAAGAAATCTGATACCTCTCACTGCCAGGAAATTTCTTCCACAAGTCTAGCTCAAATCCCTCATGCAGTATTTGCAGCTCTTTTCTTACCTCTTTCTCAGCTGAGGATCTGGAGAGTTTTTGTTTTTCAAGTCCACCCAAAATTTCTCCCTGCATAGTACTTTTGCCCTCTAAGTGCACTTTTCTCCCCTTGACTTCTCTTTGGTTCTCTGTCTTTCTTAATTTCAGGAACAGATCAACTATACTGATATAGTCAATGCAAAATCCTCCCCTCCAAAGCCAAAAATGTATCACATTTATCCAGCATTGATAATGTGTCCAGCGACTTACTAGGAACCATAAGCACTTTACTCCGGTTAAAGTCCACAACCATCCTATGAGGCTGGCAGTGTGCCCATTTGGTAGATGAAGAAACTGAAGCTTGGAGCAGTAAGTGACTTGTCCGGTGTTTGCTTGGTCCTGGAGCCTGGACTGGATTCGAGGTGGCCTGCCTCCAAGTCCACATCCCGAACCACCTGCTCTCCTGCCTGGGAGAACCCACATGGCCTCACCTGTCACTCAGCCAGGCAGTGTGAATTTGTCCACGTTCAGAGGACACCACACCATGTCAGAATAAAATAGAAGTATGGGTCAGTCCAACTGCTACAAAAGAGACAGGTCATATTTCAGAGCAAAGCAGAGATATCTGTCACTGACAGAGCCTCTCTGCCTTGCTTCCTATACTTGGGAAGGAATTTTTACTTTCTCCCTTTTTAACTATTTCCTTCTAGAACCATCAGCCTAGCTGCTCTTTGTTCAATGCGTGCCTCCTTTGGAGTTTATATCCTTTCCAGCAGCTTCCTTCTTCAGCCAGCCCTGTCTTACCTTGGTTTGAAGAGCAGGGCTTAGTCTCTGTGGAAGTTTTATTGGTTTTGCAGTCCTGGATGGTTCTCATAGCACCCACTCATTTTCTTGTAATGTCAAAAACTGGTTACATGCTGGTGGTGTAAGTGGCTGGAATCACTCAATACAATTCAGCTGATAAAAGAAAAAAACCTGTGCACATTTCCTTGCATGGTTTATCTTATATAAAGCAAGGAGCTTGGGCCAGATGGTCTCTGAGGGACCTTCTGGCTCTGACATATTCTGGCTTTCAGAATACTTTGTATAATAGATTATTTGGAATCCAATTTAGAGAAAAGCACATTCCACACCAGTGCTCCGAGGCTCTTGACACAATAGTGGTTGGCCCCGTTATCTTGAAAACAAACAATGCCCAGACTCCAACAAGGGTCCTCTGCTTTCTTGAGCAGTAAATCTCTTTGGCAGAATCTCAGCGTGGTCCTAGCTTCTCTGTGCCAAGCTGTAATCTTTGCCTCTTTGCCTGGCTCATACGCCTTTGTCCCATCCCCCACTCTAGACACCAGCACTGTTTCTATTAGTGCATCACAGTCTGGACACTTCCTAATTACTGGAGTCCACAATGGTCCCCTTGAGGACCTGCGGCCTCTGTTTCCAAGACATAACTGGTGACGGGGCCAGCTGCCTCACCAGAGCCTGCAAATGACCATTCCTCTGGTTGCTTAGGAAAACAAGACACTCTCGAGCCACGGTGAGGGGTAACTCAGGTGTGGGAGAAGCCAATGCCCCTCTGAATCAGACTGAACCGTTGCTTGTGGGGTGAGTTAGAAGTATATCCCATTGTAATTGTTCTGTGACTTGCAAGCGTGGACTGGTGGGCACAGGAGGTCCAGGAGAGGGAGAAGCATAGATCGTCCAATGTCACTTTTACTCACCTAAAAAAAGTACCCTGAGCTGGACTCTTCCTCCCATTTTCCATGTGGGTTTTAAGGAGACCTGGGGCCTAGCTGTGAAAGTGTACTCTCAGGAACTGAGATTATGCTATCCAGCAGGCAATTCTCATCCAGACCCTGAGATGTTAACCAAACCGAAAGCTGATCTTTAAACACCGGCAAGAGCCAGACTGTGGCATCACCTATTCTCAGAGCCTCTCCAGCCATCCACTGCTGATGCCTATGCTTCTGCTCAAGTCCTTCTTGGTGGGAATGACCAGTGACCTCCCAGGAGCTCAGCAAATTGAGGCCTGCCTGTTCAGGGAGACCCTGCCACCATGTGAACCACCTGAGACTCCCACATCAGCCACCTTCCTCTCCACGGGCAGTGTCCTGAAGTGTCACCTATCTGCCCTGCCACCTAGCAGGAGTTAATGACATGGTATCAGTCAAGTTAGGCAAACTGGGGTTAGCACAGGCAAGGTTACTCCCAGGGTCACCGCGGCGACTCACCACTGTACATGTCAGGGTGGTTTCTTAAGGACGAGTCATTATAGGGGTGGTCTGCAATAAACAAAAGAGGGTGAGCAAACAGAAGGCCACGGAGAGTCACAGAGGCATACACAGGGAGAGAAAAACAAACGCAAAGCCACAAAACAACCAAGGAGAGCGCCAGTGGTGTTGGGCAAAGGAAGGGCGCAGCACGCTTGGCAAGGGGAATGTGCGCGGTGAAGAATGAGCAACAGAAAATAGCCCCCAAAAGAACTGAAAGGTTACATCCTGCAAAAGAAAAAGGGCAAGAACAAAATAAGTTTCTTTTGATACAGAAGAAATTAGGCTTGTACTTTGCTCGGTCCTAGTACGTTCTGATCAAATGAGATAAAGGATTAGTGGCGTCCTGCAGCGTCTTAGGACCAACTTCTCATCACAGTCCTGAGCTCCCAGGACTCTGGGCCTGGCCAGCTCTCGGGGCAGCTGAAGAAAAAGGGATATTAGTGGGCTCGGGGGCAAAAAGCCACGTCCTGTGGGAGCAGAAGCTAAGCTGCAGGGAGGTAAGTGGAGAAGAGAGTCACTGACAAAGGGAAGGGGTGGAGGGACCCTCGGAGTGCACAGCATCTGCCCCGCAAATCTGTGAGCAGGTGGGGACTTGGTGGTCTCCGATCGTCTGTGGGGACTGCGCCAGTGAGGCGGGAAGGTGGATGGAGGTGTAGCTCTAGAATTAGAAGGGGAGCTGGGGACAAGAGAGCGAGGTCGTGAGCAGTGAGTACCACATCTCGTTCCTGGTGACAATGCTGGAGATCAGCACTCTGCAGACTGCTGAGGTGACACCATTCCTTACATGTGGTGGCTCTGGTTCCAACAGGAGGGTCATTAAAACCCTTGGCTCTTTATTCCTCAGTGAAAAGACATTTTGGGAGAGGACATGCAAAGATGCCAATGTCCTCAAGTAGCTTTTTACTCGCCACACCACCACCGTCCCCTTCCAGGGTTTGAGTTTTGACAGCACCAGTGGGGGGTGGGGGTTGACAGCCAACTGGAAGCCAAGCAGGCAGCTCTGAGCAGCCTAGGACGAGGTCCAACGGCTGGGTAGGGGAGGGGCTGGGAGGACAGGCGCTGTGCCAAAACATTTGCATATTTGAAGACAGATCAAATCTTGTTACAACTAATTATGAGGGTGTGTGAGTTTTTTTCTGGGACTGGCATTGCATTGCATCCCCAATCTGCTTAGCAGCCAGTAGGAGGATTTTCATTATTCGGCACTGCCTCTTCAGATGAGGTATGTTGCCCAAGACCTACCCCATTTGGGCAACGGCTTGTGCACATCTGGAGCAAAAGGCAGGGACTGATCCTCAAAAGGATGAGGGGGCAGGTGGCACTGGGCAGAGGGGGGCATTCCCTGCTCTCTAGTGGCCTCCACAGATGAAAGGGCCCTTCTTTCACGCTGTCCTGTCATCAAGGGAAAGGGAGCCTCCTGCTCAGAACTGACCTCTGCAGCCCACAGAAGAGACTCAGGGAGACTTTCTGACCCCTCTGGGAAGGTCTCTTAGTGATCAGAAGGGAGCACGGAGCACCCTCTGTTGCTCATGGATGAGGCTTCTCAGTACAGCAGGAGGACCTCGGGGCCCGGTGCGGGCACAGCAAGGGACAGGGTGTACCCTGGGCAAGGAGGGACAGGGTACATCTCTGCGAGTCTGACTCCACTGGTTATCTTTGAGTGCACCCCCAAATAGTTTTAAAAATGGTTTGATTTGATTTTTGTAGTGCTAGGGATCAAACTCATGCTTGGCAAGCACTCTACCACAAAGCTGCATCCCTAGCAGTAAAAAATTATTTTTTACAATACTCAATGTTTGCCATTTTATACCTTTTCCTCTGTCTTTTTACACAGTTAATAAAAACAATTGTGATGAGATTTCTTTCTTCCAGAAGGGCAAACTGTGGGCAGACTGTTTTGCCTCCCACCCCCAGCCCTGGTTCCGAAGGTAGAAGAAAAAGCCTGTGTCCTTTCCAGACAGGAAAGTCGAGAGCCCAACTGTGCTATTTTAAGCCACTGTGCCCAATTCTGGGCTGGCTGTGCTGCCCAGAGCTTGCTTCCAACCAGAGCTGTCTTGGGAGCACTCCAGAAAGCTGTCGGGGTTTTGTTCCAGGCACCTAGAGGGTTTCCCATCATTTGGAGTTTTCAGTGGAATAGGGGACCCAGAAATGAGGTAGACGCGAACATTCACACCCACCGTGTGAGAAAAGGGAATTTCTGGAAAGCTCAATCTCTAAATGTTGCGTAAACTTCTGTGTTTAATTTTATAGCGGAAGCGCCCTCACCACCTCCACCTCCAAGCCTGGATGGCAGAAGGTTGCCTGACTTAGGCAGGAGCAGCAGGCTGATTTCCAGCCTCCCCCTGGGCAAGGAGAAGGGGTCCAGGCAGTGAGCTGAGGAGCCCTCCCACTCCTGGCTCTTCCTCACTGCTGGCCCAGTCTTGGCTACTGGGCCACTCTGAGGTCGTGGGAAGACCACACTGTCCCCCCAGCTCAACCAGCTGGCAGCCGGGCACCTGGGGCATACCAAGAAGATGCTGCGCACAAACCCAACTTTCTTCTGCAGGGGCTGCCTGGGCCTGCATCAGAAATAAGAAAGGCAGGGTCAGGGGTAAGCGGAGCAGAGCGCGGTCGCCCTGCAGGAGCGTGCGGAACTTGGGCGATTCTGAGAGCTGTCAGGCTGCACGCAGTCAACATCCCTAGGACAGTGTGTGGGGACACAGGTGACCAGAGGAGGGAAGTGCAGTTCAAAGAAAGAGAAAATTAGGGGAGGACAAAGGAAACAAAAAAGAGGACGAACAGAGAGGAAGGAAATGGAAGAGAAAAGGTGAGCTAGAGGGAAAAAAGGAGGAAAAAACCCCAGGAGACGTGGAACATAAAAGCAAGCTGCTTCCTTATGGAGCCCCCCTCTCTGCCAAGGTGAAGGGATGTGGACTTCGTTGACCTTCAGTGCACCAGCAGGAAGTGATGAGGGAAGAAAAGAAGGAAGGGCTCAAGCCTCTGCCGCTGCATGCCTCGCCCACCAGCACCACCCAGGGATCGCTGGCACCTCCTGGTGGGCTGTCTGGCAGGGGGAGCGGCCAGCACCCACACGGGGCTCTGGGCCTGACCACCCCAGAACCCTCACTGCCTGCAGCAATGACAGCAATGTCCACAGCCTGCGTCAGACAGACTGAGGTCTCTTGTCAGTGCTGGGGCTCTTCTACAGAAGGTGGGTAAGATATCCATGGTGAAAACCAACTGGGACAACTTTCAATGTCACAAGCAAGATGAGGAGTTGTTTTTTTCCAGTAATGAGGGTCAAACCCAGGGTGTTCTACTACTGAGCTATATCAACAGCCCTTTAACAAGTTTTAAAAAAAATTTCAGACAGAGCCTTGCTAAGTTGCCAGACTGGGCTCAAACTTGCTATCCTCCTGCATCAGCCTCCCACATAGCTGAGATTACAGGCACACATGACTGCACTTGGCAAGCTGAGAACTTTGAAGTAAAAGCTCCAGGCTGGTCTGTTCTTGCATTTCTGACTAAACTTTCCTCACAACTCCAGGGAGGCCACCAACACGACACTGGGTCAGGAAATGTGACTTGCTTTTGCATCAGAGAAAATCAAGGAATAAAAACTAAAACAAATCAAGTCAAAACAGACATGTGCAACTTCTGAACAGCAATGCCACATGGTTCAGCAAATACCTATCACAGAATCAAAATTTATTTCAGTGTGTCCACTAGTTTTTTTGTTTTGTTTGTTTTTGAGACAGGGTCTCACTATGTAGTTCAGGCTGGCTTTGAACTCACTATGTAGTCGAGGTTGATCTGGAACTCATGGTGATCCTCCTGCCTCAGCCTCCCAAGTAATGGGATACAGGTGTGGGCCACCATGCCCGACTTGTCCATTAGTTTTAATATATTATGCTCTGGCTTTCTTCTAGAAGTAAAGATAACCAAGTATTAACTAGAAATAAATAAGCTAAATGAGGGACAAAGATGACCAATGACACTTAAGCAGTGGTGCTCAAACTTGGCAGGGGGTGGGGGGGGCGGTACTAAGTCTTGCAGACACATAGGCTACCCAGTTAGAACAGGGCTGGGCCTTGGTGTGTGATTCTGATTCCCACCAAAGCTGGAGAAGCATTGGCCCAGAGCAGGACCAACTTCGACTCAAGGCTTTAGAATTAAGTGACATTGTTTATAGGCAGGTGCAATGGCTCACAATGGCTCAGGCTCAGTGAACAGGTAGGATTTCTAGGTGAGCCTCAAGGACAAGTTTCCCTGTGGACACAGGTACCCTGGGCTGCAGGGTTCCTCCGGCCGCAGCCCTGGGCAGGGGCCTGCACTTACTGGTGAGGACCTTGAGGGTGAAGGGGTTCTTCTGCTGGATGGTGTGGGTGAAATGGAAGCGGGCGTTGCAGCTGTAGTCCGTCTGCATGTCCTGCAGCATCACGTTGGAGAAGTACAGGTCTCCGTTATGGCCCTGGGAGACGCGTTTGTCCTGGGTGATGGGCTCCATGGCTATGGGGAAGCACAGGTGCGAGGGGAAGTTAGAGGGAAAGATCGTCGTCAAAGGCCGACCACTGAACACTACAGAAGCGGGCCCGGGGGTACTGGGAGACTGACATTACTTGTTCTAACCCTCCCAGCTCTAGAGCAGAGGCTGTTTCCATTGTATCCAGGGGACCAGGCAGAAAGGGAGAAGCAGGAATTTAGATTTAGCTCGGCCTGAGCATCACGCCCATGCAGCATGAGGAGACGCTGCAAACCCCTGTTCATACCACAAAAGATCTGACTGTCCCCAAAGCCAGAGGGAGGGAACGCAAACCTTCAGATGCTCCTCAAATCGGGATGCGAATTCTCATGCTAGCGGAAGGAGCACTATAAAGGCAGAGTCGGTGGCTTGTTTATGCCCCAGACCCTGCCACAGGGCCTGGCACATGAGGGCTCTCAACAAGTTGCTGAATTAAATGAAATTTAACTTGGCCTTTTGCACTTAATCAAAATTTAGCCACCAGCCATTATAAGACACTTTGTTTTTTTTTCCCCTAAGAAACTCTCCATTATAATTGTAAGATATACATCAATCACCGAAGCACACCACCAATTTTCAGAGGTCTTCCAAGTTTAGAGCTGTGAAACTACAAAAATGTGTGCTTTTTAGAGCTAGTGACATCACAGGAACGGCTGAGGCTGCAGACTATGTTATCGATGTTTTTTCCAGCATTGATGTAAATATAACAGACCAGGTCTTCAGGCTGTTAGGTCGTTCATATATAGTTAAGGCTGACTACACACAGCCGTCTTGTTTCTTATGCCCACACCTGTTTTCTAAACCACCATGTCTGAAAGCACAAGATCAGTGCTGCTAACGTTTCCAGACTAGGCTCCCGAAGCACTCCTCAGAGATGTGCTGGGGCCTCCTGTGCTCCAGGCACTGAGCTAGGTTCTGATGAATGATGAACAAGAAAGACAGTTCCTGCCCTCAGCAAACTGCCAGTCTAGCAGAAAGGATAGCAGGCAAAGAAGTCACTGTGATCCAGTGTGGACAGCAGAGAATACCAGGGAGGAATAGGAGGTTGCAGAGAAGGGCCAGTCCAGTTGGGGGTCTGGGGCTGAACCCCGAAGGCTGCATATTTTGTCAGGCAGAAAAGACGGAGGAGCTACAGGGTTTCTCTGCAGCAGGAAGAGTGTGGCTAAAGGCTAAGAGCACAGAACCCACACGGGGGCTGGGAATGCAGGCGGAGGGTGAGAGAGGCAGAGGCACCAGCCAGGAAGGGGACCAGGTGTCAAGGACAGGAGTCTGGACTGTTCCTGAGGTGAGGCGAGGGAGAAGCCAATGAAGGGCTTTAAGAACCTGGCCAGGGAGCCCCGGTATGGACGTGTGTGTTGTCACCCAGGGACAGGCTGATGGTGGCTGGAGCGGAAATGGAAAGAAGCAGAGGGCCATGAGAACTGCTCCAGGGGAGGCACGAAAGCAATGTGGTGATGGACTTCCATGTGATGGATGAGAGGGCCTTGGCACTGGGAACTAACAAGCCAGCCCCCCACCGTGGCCGGGCAGCCTGCTGACATAGCACAGCATGGCAAGGGTTGAGAAGAACAATGACGGAACACAGAGCTACCCTCACCCCACAAGACAGCTTGCAGTGCTGAATTCTCGACATGGCAGCCTCCCTTGGAAGTCAGCTCGACAGAATGATGGATGATGGGCAGGTGGGCGGGTAGATATAGAGACGGATGGATGGATGGATGGAGGGATGGATGGATAGGGAGGGGTGGAAGGATAAATATGGAAGGATGGAGGAGGGATAGATGGATAGATAGGGTGGGATAGAGGGCTGTGAGGAGGGAGGAGTAGATGTATGGATAGGGAAGGATGGAAGGAGGGATGGATGAGTGGATAGAGAAGGACGGAGGATGGATAGATATGGAGGGATGGAAGGGGTGGAGGAGTCAGGTGGGGAGGAAGGGAGGGAAAGGAAAGCCAGGATACACAGCGAGACCGTGGATCTCTCATTACCCCTGTACTTGCCCCCCTATTTTAATTGAAAATGTGGGAAAACTTAGGCCCAGAGAGGTTAAATAAGCCTCATCCAAAACTGTGCTGAACATGCCTGAATGCTGTTACCCAGGTTCCTGCCCCAAACACCCTCTCTCCTTGCCCCTTCATCAAAGACTTCATTCTGTCCTTCGAGAAGAAGTGGGTGGAGCAAGTCCAGACTGACCAATGAGCATGAGGAAGCTTGGGTCAACCACCTTCTCCTGGCTTACTGGCCTACAGACATGGTTTCTCCTCCTCCTTATTCGTTTCTTCTTTTGCAATTCTTGACTTTCACCTTCACAAATAGTACCAAGAACCGCCTGTGTGTCTGGCCCAGTTCTCAACACTTTGGATGGATTAGCTCACTGACCTTTACAATAATATCCCCAGAGAAGCACATTGTTAGTTCTGCTTCTCCTAGGAGGAATGTAGGTCCAGGCAGGTTACGCAGCCTGCTTAAAATCACACAGCAAAAGTAGTCTCTCTACAGAGCTGTGTTCTCAGCCACATGGCCAAGCTGTACCTGTCTCTTCCAAGTCATGGTCTTCCAGCTTTGAGTTCAACCCTCCCTTCTAACACATCCATCTCACTCCCCGGGACTAGACTTTCAACAAAACATGGGGCTCCCGAGACTTACAGCTGCTCATCCAGAAGATAACCGGGGATGGAAGGCCGGGAGGCGGGTTGCACTGCAGTGTCAAGGGGGCGCCTTCCTGAACCACAACAGGGTCCAGGTTTTCTTTGGGCCACAGGGGAGATTCTGGAGAAGAAGAGACAAGGAGCATAAAGTGAGGGTGAGGACTGGAGCTGGGGCAGCCCTTGTGATGTAGGAGGACAGAGGTGTTTGTTGGGGTGTATACCATTCTCCAGGGTCTCCCCTTCCCCTCCTCTGGTGCCCATAGTGGCCTGTGATTTTGGGGCCGACTCTGGCTTGCAAGGTTTCTTTCCAGGGAATCTTTCTGAGTAGGGGAAGGGGCAGCCCTCCTGGAATGACCTTCCACACTCTGCCTCATCTTCCTGGCCCTGCCTCGCGGTACTCACTGGACACCTGCAGGCGGATCCTATTGGATAGGGCTGTGCCGAATTTGTTGCGGGCAAAGCACTGGTATTCGCCCTCATACTCCTCGGGCCGCCCACCACTGCGGAAGTCAATCACCAGGGTTCCCGACCTCCTCCTCATGGACACCCGTGGGTCCTTGGCGATATTGAAGAATCTGCTGTTTCGAGTCCAGTGGAAGCTATGGACAGTGGGGACGGGGCAACCATGACAAATGGCCGAACATTCTCATTCAGTCCCATCCATCCCCCTCCATGCTAAGGGACCCAGCCCTTGGGGAGGCGGAACTGTAGGGAGCAGAGAGGATGCAAACCCCAGCCGCGCTCCCTGGGTCTCTTCAGGGCCGGTCCTGGCCTGGGTATTTTTACCCAGCACAGGTGGGAATTGTGACTCTGAGTGGTGGACACTGAGCCAGCTCCTGGGACAGTCTGTCCTTTTAGTGTGTGATGGAGAGCAGCCAGTGATTTTTGAGTTTTTAAAATCCAGAGTCAGCTGCTCTTTCTAGGCTCAGGACATTCCCAGTGTCCTACCAGGAATGCAAACCCAAATTTGCATTTCACCAGACCAAACCGGTCAGGCCTTGTGCTGTTCCTCCAGCACGCTGAACTGGATACCCCTCCCCTGCCACCCACACACGCCAAAGCCAAAGGGAATTGGCTCAGCTGCTGCTCTGCTCTGCAAGTGTAGGTGATGAGGCAGCAGCCACAGTGCAGCACCAAAGGGGCAGCTTTCATCTTATTTTGTATTGTTGTAAGTGAGTGTTTGCAGTATATAATGATCACAAATCATCTCAGGGAGTTGGTGCATGTACACAATGCATCTTTATTCTTTTCTTTCTCCCTCTTTTCCCATCTCTGACCCCTCCTAAAGGGGCAGCTTTTAAAGGACGGGCAGCCTAACAACAATGAGTGATGGTGCGAAGCACCTGATGCCCCTCCGGGCCTGGGCCTGTGGCTCAGCGCACAGCGCTTGCCTAGCCTGCATGGTCCCTGGGTTCAAAACTTACCACAGCAAAAAAAGAAAAAAAAATGCAAAAAGCAAAAAACAACCAGTCAAACAAACAAAACAAAAAAACCAAGCATCCTGCTTCACTTGGGAGGATGCAGCCAGGGCCTACACCTTCAGCCGCCCATCACAGAAAGAGTAAAAGCAGGAGGAGAAGCAGAGGAAGCTCAGTGTCAGATCACTGTCCCCACAGAGGAGCATGGGAAAAACCAATCCCAGAGGCCCCATCACCAGTGCCCCCACTGGACCTCCAGGGTGAGTCCCACTTCCTTAAGGGAGCCCCTGCGGGTTCCAGGCTCATGGCACTGGGTCAGGCCCCTTCGGGAAAACCTGGGGCAGAACAAGGCTGCCACACACTCCCCGCAGCCTCTGGCCTGCTTGCTCTTCTGTGACACACACACACCCTGGTCAGGCCCTGGCACAGCCAGCCTGAGGCCTGCTGGAGCTCATGGCTGCATCTGTGATGGTAGGGACAGACAGCATCTGCGGTATCTCCAAGGCTGATCACTTGGCAGAAAAGAACCTGGACTTGCGGGGTCAGAGGCTGGGTTTACATCAGGGTTCTGCCCCTTCTTGGGGAATGACCATGGGAAAGGCACTTAAAAACTCTGTTTCTCTGCCTGCCTCTTCTGCAGGACATTGGTCCCGCCCCAGAGGAAGGTGGATGGTTGAGCAAAGACAGCGTGAGCAAGAACAGCCAGCAGAGCCTGACCAGGGTAGGCTTTGGGCTCCTGTCTGCTGATCCCTCATTTGATCCTGATGAACAGATTAGAGAGAGCTCAGAATGCAAAGCTGAAGTCAGCCAGGAGGAGCAACTTCCCACAGCTGAACAGGGAGTGGAAGACAGCGACACCAGACTCAGGGCAGAATGTTCTGCTAGAGGTCAGAACTCCTGGCTTTTCATGGTGAATTCAGATAAACCACGTAAGTGCTGTCAGCCCTTAGTTCCTCATCAGGTGAGTTTCCTGCTCCCAAAATTGCACCCTCTCCCTGGTCTGTGGCTGAATTTAACTTCTCGGGTGCCTCATTTGCCTGCCGTATCATCAGGCCCAGAGGCGAGGGGGTGGTCTTCGCTGGCCCTTCCTCTCTACTCACCTGGGGGCAGGGTTCCCCTTCGCCTCACACTCAATCAGGATGTTGTCACGGGGGTCCACGATGTGGTCCTTCACTGACTGCTTGGTGATAGTTGGAGGCTGGGTCACTGAAACAGGAAGTCAAGGCGCAGTCAGGGCTGCAGGGACCCGGCCAGGTCCTGGCTTGGGGGACAGCTAAAATCATGGGGCATGCAGGCAAGTGGATGTGAACAGGTCCCTATCCTAGAGACCCGGCTTCTCAAATGAGGCTGTAGGAAAGCGGGTGGGTGCCGAGGGCTAAGGAAAGAATCCCTTTAAGAAGATTCCGTCGTGTTCCTAGGAGAGGCTGAAAGCCAGGCTTTTGTTATGCCCAGCCTTACATCCTAACACTGAGCACTCATTGCACAATAGTCTCTGACAAGTGTGTGCTGGATGAACACAAGAACAAAAACAGTTACCTTTTTAGAACTCAGGGGCCATGGTTCTGAGCCCCAAGCCACACCATGGTGAGTAAGAGCTGAAAGAGACGTTAGTCCCACAGAGCATCCTAGGGGTTTGCCAGCATCTCCACTTGGGGGGCCTGAGCCCCAGGGTTCTATGCCAGGGTCCCATGCCAGCCATCAGAGGATAGAGGAGCAGCCAGGGCTGTGGTACACCTTGGCTCCCACCCAGGGACCCTCTTCTGACCACCTGCTCCTCTACCTTGCCCGGCAGTGGGAGCCTCTGGCTAAGTGAGCTCTTGACTTTAGTGTGGTTGGGCACCTTGCCACAGGGCTGGTGGAGAGGCTGCTGACCCCAGGCATCTCCTACCTGGCCTCGTAAAAGCCTGGGCCTCTCCCACCCCTCTGCCCTCCTTCCCACCTCTGAGGCACAAGGGCGGGGCGGTGCACAGGACTTACGCTCATTCTGAATGCTTGCTGTTAGTTCCAGTAGGTTAGCATGGGGGGGCGGGAGAAAAGAAGAACATTGTTATCGCACACGGCTCACTGCCAGCTGTCCTCATGCCCACCATGCAGAGAGAGGGTTGAGGTGGCCTTGAGGACAGCACTGTGTCCAGGCTTTCTTTACCCAGCTACAGAACTTGGGGAAGAACCAACAGGACTGGGAGCAGACGCGTCACATGCTGTATAGAGAAGGTGCTGCCTCCCTTGGAGCCCAAGGCCACATGGGGGAGCCTAGGGACAGGTGAACTACAGTTACCCTATTCTTGGCAGAAATACATTGTCCTGTGGAAATCCTGCTCTAGAAGGAGAGACTCCAGGGATGAGGTAGAGCCTACTGCTCCTCACTGTATTTTACCCAAAAAAGGTAAAGAGGAGGTGGCTCCCATCTTCTCCAGCTGTCCTTGGAAGGTTCACCTGCTGGAGTATAGGTGGTTCCTGTTCAGGTAGATGCGTGTGTGCGTGCATTGCTGGGGATCAAACTCAAGGCCTCGAGCATGCTAGGCCAAGTACCCGGGCCCAAGGTCTGCATTTCTGGCTAGTGGCCAGGTGATGCTGAGGCCTGTGGTCTGTGGATAGAGCTTGGGTAGCAAGGGTTTGGCTGGTGTTCTTGTGGGGAGGAAGTCTTGGTTCAAAGGTGTCTGCAGAAAAGAGAACATGAGCTGCTGTAACTTTGCAAAGTGTCTTTCCTTAGGACAATCTCGGAAAGCACCTCTGCGTTCTTGCTGTACATGTTCTTGGTGTGGACACTGGGCGCCACATCAGCTGCGGGCTGACTTCTTCAGTGAGTGCTGAGGGGGAGCTGGGGAGGGGAGCCTGCAGGCACCCGGGTGGAGCCACAGGGACCTTGATGCCTTCCAATCTTCCAATCTTCTGGGAGACAGATGGGGAGGAAGAGGAGTGTGGGGGCTCAGAGGGGGCCTGCAGGAGCCAGAGTTCATTAGGCCTGAGAGGTCAGAAGGAGAGGGACAAGGGACAGGAGTGGAGAGGAGAGGCAGGTTAGGAATGAGTCCCCTATGATGCACACTGTCAGCAGTAAGTCCTGACAGTACAGCCAAGGAAAATGTTCATGTTGGGCCAGGGGAGTGCGGCCCACAAGAGGAAAAAGTCCAGTTTCTGCACACACATTCTGTGGAGCTCCTCACGGTGGCATCATCACCTGTACGTGATTTTCCCACCAGGGGCCAGGAAAGGTGGCTGTGCGGGGCTGGCAGGGGAGGGGCAGGAGGACGGAGAGGCCATTCTCAGGACGGGCAGGGCTGACACTGGAGCTGAGTCCTTCTGACCACCAGCCTGGCCCGGCATTTTGTTTCCAGGCACAGCTGGGATCTGTTGGGTCCTCACATACAGGTGGGGGCTCTGGCCTCACCCAGATGGGCTCCGATCTGATCTTTCACAGAGCAGAACCTGGATCAGTGGGAAGAGCCCTAGACATCCTCCAGGAGCTCTCTCTCCTCCAACAGGAAGTCACCTGGTTAAGACCCCACGGGAAGTCTGGTGCAGAGCCAGAGTAGACACCTGCTCTATTAATGTCCGGCCAGTGTGATTTTTTCGGTACGAGAGACTGGGCCTAGGGCCTTCACACTGGGTTACATCCCTAGCCCTTTTGTTATTTTTTTATTTTGAGACAGGGTCCCACTAACTTGCTAAATTGCCCATGCTAAGTTCAGACTTTCTACCCTCTTGCCTCAGATTCCAAGAATACTGGGATTTCAGGTGTGCACCATTACGTCCAGCTCGTAGCTCTTTTCGCAAACCTGTCTTTGGCTGGGCAGGTGAGTTTGCGAGTGGGGGCTGCATGCAGCACTCTGTTCTCCTTTAGGTGAACACTTTGGATGAGGTAAGACGGGAAGCCTTAACAGGTGAAGACTCTCAGGGCAGCTGGAACTGGCTGGTTGCTGTCCCTACCTCCACGTGGCCTGTCTGGCCAGGAGCCTCTTGAAAATCTATTTGCCTACAGAGACAATGACATTTGTAGCCACCACTGTGCCCCTGAGGAATTTATTACAGGGACAGGATCATCCCAGAAGAAAGCTGCCACAGGGAGAAGACAGTAGGGATAGGACAAGGACAAGGACAAGGACAAGGATAAGGACAGCCAAGCTCTTATCCAGCGTCACACCACCTGCCCATCTCTCCTTCACAACTTGCTGTCTGATGATGTCCACTGAAGGATGAATTTGCTCTTTTGCTCCCAGGGGGCCACACAGCCTGGGCCTGCAGAGGGAGGGCAGGAGTCTCTCTTGGATGCCACTGTTCCCTACTGGGTTCTGGGACCTTAGAGCTCTGGTTCTCACCCTTCCCTTGGGGGACAGGTGGAGGGGTGTGCATGTCATGGTACCCATCCCATTGTACAGTTTGGGGTGAAGGTGGGGAGGAAGTGTCTCTCCCACTCTACAAGCCTCCTCTGCAGATACAAGCGCCAAGTCCCCTTGGCATGGGACAGACGGAGGGGCAAGTCTCCAGCAGACTTGGTTGTCTCAAAGGTCACACTGTTCTCCTTGGGGCTGGAGGGGTGGGGATGTGTGTGACTTCACTGTGGCCTGAATGAGGGATTGTGTGGTGGCCCAGGCCCTCTTCCAGGGAGCTGCTGGGCCAACTCCCCAGGGAGGAGGCAGTGTCCCTGCCCTTGAGAATGTCCTCAAAGGGGAAGCAGTAGGAGGACACCAAGGGGTCCTGGCAGCCTCAGGCAGGAAAAGTTAGGAAGGCAGATCTTTCCCGGCCCAGAGATGGAAGGTGCGCTTGGCTAACACCAGAGTAAGAGCCTGGGTGCTGGGCCCAGGAGAAGGGCTGGGACCTCTGGGAAGGGCTGGTGTGTGTGTGTGTGTGTGTGTGTGTGTGTGTGTACAGCCTCTGGAGATGCTGCAATGGCTAGGGGTAGGGCAGGACCTCCAGCACACGATCCTGGCAGCCTGGGCCATCTGGACTGTTGTGGCAGGACTCACCTCTCCACCAGAGCGGCAAGGCCTTCTTGTCCTCTCTCTCTTGCTGCCCTGTTTCCTAACCTGTCAGCTCAGGTGAATACCTGTTTCCTTGCTTCACCGGGAGAACCTTGCATGATGAGACACATACAGCACTTGGTTCTCTGCCTGGCCCAGGACAGCATGATTTCAGCAGGTCCAGTGAAGACTGAGAGGAGGCTGGATTATGAGATGGCAGGGCATTCGGAGTGCCAAATTGGGGGTCCAAAGATCCGGGCTCTTTTTTGACTCTATTACCATTTGTCATGTGACCCCAAAGCAAGCAAGGGGTGGAGTTTCCATGAACACAACACATCAGGATGGCTTCCTTCTAGGCCCCTTGGGGACCCTAGCATGGAGATGGGTGGTGGGTAGGTCAGGACACTCTCTGCTCTCTGCCACAGTGGCAGTCTGGAGAAACTGACTGCTTGGGTTCCTTGCTGCATCCCTGTCTACAATAATATACACATCCATATTCCTCTCATCCCAGTACTAGGGCTTAAACCCAGGGCCTTCACACTGAGCTATAGCCGCTGACTTTTATTGTATGTTTATTTTGAGACAAAGTTTTGCTAAGTTGCCCAGGCTAGGCTAGAACTTGCAATCTTCCTTCCTTATCCTCCCAGAGTGCTGGGACTACAGGCATGCACCTATCAGAAATGCACCAAAACCATCTCTTTCTGAGTTCATGGCACAGGATCCCCGCCCCCAGCTCCAGCGAGCAGAGTGGCAGGTGAGTGAGTGAGAAGCGGCAGAAGAGATATGAGCCTTCACCTCTTTCTTGATAACCCAATTTCCTCTGCACCCCCTCCCTCTCCAGGGACACGGCCTTTATTGCACTCCTATTAGATTGTCTGCCTGGGACTGTTAATGAGACCTCTCCTCCAGCCAGCCAGCTGCAGATGGTTGCCATGGGAACAGTGCTTCTCACAACTCTCCTCCCTGCGTGCCCTGTGTGTGGACCCTAATATGTGCACACACATTTGGGCTACTATACTGGGGCACCAGTGTCCTTGCTCATCTTGCTTTTCAGTCCAATTTACAGATATTACTGCTCTCTGCCATCCCCAGTGCCCACTCCTCTGGGGCACTATTCTTATGGGAGGCATGGGATGGGAGGAGGGTCTGCCTTTGGACAGCTCCATGAGGACTTCCTGCAGACCGCTTACTCTGTCACCCCCTCCCCAGACATCTGTCGACTAAGGGGGCCCACGTCAGTGTTGGCGTCATGCTGGTCCTAGTTATTCCTTGAGGCAGGACCAAGAAGTGTGGCTGCCGGCCAGCAGGCCATCTATGAATGCAGCAACACGCAGCATGCTGTCTTGACACTTTAAACTCCTCATTTTATAATTCTGATGGTCAGACAGTGCCCCCACCAGAGAAGCAGAACGGATTCACTCTCCACCATGACTGTGGGAAAGCTGGACAGAGAAGGAAGGCATGCCTGGTTCTCCTATTATAATGGGGTTTCATTTTAATCTCTTATTTAGCTAGGCCTTTTACAAAGATAATTGCCTGCCCAGCCTTCCCAGGCCATCTCTCCTCCTGACCTTTCCAGGCAAGGAAGCCAAGGATTCAGCTTTGGATACAGCATTAGAAAGGCAAGTACACGTCACACTAAAACTGCTTTTAGGGGAAGGCCAAGAGCACAGAGGGCCAAAGAACGTGAGCAGCAGGAAGAATGCCAAGCAGCGCCCAGAATCTCACACTCTGTCACCCTGGGAAGCCCAAGCATCATCTTAGAGACCAGCCCTAAAACCCACAGTATCAGATTTCCAAACATGAGCCTGTGTTGATTCACTGGACAGAAAATCAGCTTTGGATCCCAGAATCATTCAATGCTACCCTCTCCTCAACCTTCTCTAGGTCGTCTTAACTCTCCCCTTGCCTCCCACTCCTCTGCCCAAAAACAAGAGTAAAGAGGATGGGGCAAGACTCACGATCCATAGGAATCTCAATGGCCCCACCAAGACTCAGGAGGAGGAGGAGGAAGGCTGCATGGACCCAGGGCGGCGGCTGCTGCCTGGCCATCCTCGGCACCAGGCCCCGCTCTCTGCTCCCCAGCCCTCGGGCTCTTGCTCTCTCCAGCTGCTCCACGTGGGCTTTCGGGATAGAGCTCAGCTGTGGAAGGAAATACACAACAAGTAAGTTTTTTGTGTACTTGTGTCTGCTCTTGTACTCCTCCAGAGCCTTGGAGGACTCTGGGTCTCTTGGTGCCCTTGGCCACAGAGCAGGAGGATATCCTAGAACAGGGTTTCTAACTTCAAAACTAATGACATTTGGGACTGAACAAGTCTGTGGGGGAACTGTGCTGGGCATTGGAGGATGTTTCGCAGCATCCTTGTCTCTACCTACCAGACGCCAGCAGAGCCCACCCCTACCTCTGATCAAAAATGGCTTCAGTAGGGGCTGGGGATTTAGCTCAGCCGCAAAAGCGTCTGCCTGGCAAGCGCAAGGTCATGAGTTCGGTTCCCGGTACCGGAGAAAAACCAAAAAAAAAAAAAAAAAAAAAAAAATGGCTTCAGACGTTGTCACCTGTGCTGGGAGGGCAAACGCACCCCCAACTGAGAACTACTGTAGCACAAGGAAGGACAATTCTGCACAGATCAGTTACAAAAGCAAACACTGGCCCATAGCCCCAGCATCCAGAGGATGCCATGCGGAGGTGTAGAAATGCCCATGGACTCCCTGAGCAAGTTTGGGGCAAGGCCAAAGAGACAAGATCACTGTGATCTCTTCTGACCTGAGGGTACGGGGTGACATCCGCAGCTCTAGGGGTCCCAAGTTGAATAAGTGAAACCCCGGTTGGCCACAGAATGTTTTGTTTTGAAAGAGCAATTTCTTTAAATATTTTGTGCAGCTAAGGTGTGCTTTGTCTTTAAAGGTAATGGCACTAGTGGGATAGTGGTGCAGGAGAAGTGGGCTTGGGATGGTCAGTAGAATGAATAACATTTATGGCAGCTCAAGCACAAGCTATCATCATGGGGCTTCCAGGGAGACAGGTTAAAAATGCGTGTCCAGTCTCAAGTGCATCTGCTTAGGAGACTAAACCTCCTCCCCTTGCTCTATCCCACGGTAGGACAAGAGTGGCCTGACGAGATGCAATCAAACGCAGTGCTAAACTGCCCGAGGCTCTGAACCACAGCGTCTGCAGCCATGGTCCAGTTTGCTCCTCCACCAAGGGGCCAAGTCAAAGAGGAAAGCGGAGGGGGTGCGTTCACAACTCAAGCTCTCCTGGACTGACAGTGTCCATCAAATGGACACTTGCTTCCTCTGCTTCCATTTCACCTGGCAGCAACTTGAAGCTCACGGTCAACTGCGCAGGCCCAGTGTCTCCCGTCCAGCCCGACCATATGGGGGAGAGGGCAGCGCAGGGCACAGCCATCCTTCTGGAGACCTGGAGCAGGACGCAGATTACCGAGCACCGCCTCCCATGTACAGGATGCAGGGCAAGCTGAAGGAGTCTGACTCACATTTCAATAGTTTCCTCCCCAGCCTCAAGTGTTTCTGGGCTCCACCCCTCGTCCCCTCCCCACTGCCATCACCTCGGTTTCAGACGCTGTCATTCCACACAACAGCTTCCTAGGTGGTCTCCCAGCGTCCACCCTGTCCCTGATTCGTTCTTCACCCATGACCAAACTGCTGTTTCTGGAGTACAAGTGTCAACACACCACTCCCCTAGGCTGACTCTAGCAGCTCACTGCTGCCTGAAAGTTAGAGTCCACGTCCTTGACTGGCTCAATGGCCCTGCACGTTGTGCCCCTTTCAGGCTCCTCCTACCACACTCATCTGCTGTACTGTGCTCCCGCCAAGGCTGCTCCTCCAGCAGGGATTTAAGCATCATATTGGGTCTGGACCACTGGCTTTTGCACAGATTAACCGCATCCAGGCCTCTCGCAGTCTGTCTTCTCCTGTTAGTATCTGTCAGGTCTGACTAACGTGTCCTTACAGGGCTCCTGCACACCCTTACTCTCCCCATAATGGCACTTTGCGCTTTATATTCATTCCAAAGTCACCTGTCTTCCCCATACAAATGACGCTCCATAAGGAAAGGTGCTCAGACTTGTTTATGATTCTGTTCCTAGAATCAACAATAGCACCAAAGACATAGCAGGCACCCAAAAATATGTGACAGGTGGAAATATGGATGAGTGAACAAAAGGAATGATTGAATGAAATGAGAAGCCACTGTGAATGTTTAAAAAAAAACCTCCTATTTTCCTAGAAAACCACTAGGTGGCAGAAGAGAGCACCTGAGAGACTGAGCGGCGTACTAGAAAAGTGGTCAATTGGTGGGAGAAAAAACTCCCTATGCTTAAGATGCTGTGCCCTGGCCAGGAAACCACCTAGCTGGATGAGTGTTAAGAGAGCAGACAAACCCCCAAGGAGGTCTGCTTTGGGTAGAAGGCACCACAGGGGTCTTTGATTCTTCCTTCTACGATGTCCTTACACTGTTTTTCCCATGCACTCCTCCCTGGCTCACAGTGTGGAAGGGCTGCCCCCCGTGGGGGCGGGGGGGGGTGGGAACCGAGGGCAGCGGGACGGCACGTCTGGGCTCCGCAGTCACCTAGTTTGCTCAAGCCTTGCCAAGCAACACGAAGCGATGAGAAGGGGTGTTTTATTCTGGGAATCTTGTGGAACTAGCAAGCCAGAAGCTATTTACTAACCAGAAAGGCACTGGTAGAGAAAAAAAAAGAAGCTCAACTGTTTGGGACAGTTTCTAACTCACAATTTAACAACAGAAGAAAAGAACCTCACATTTAGCACTCTGGATAATCACATTTAGCACTCTGGCAATTCTCTTCCCCTTTACTCTCTGAACCCCACTTTTTCCAGCCAAATCTTCAAAGAGGAAGAGAATGGAAAGATTAGTAGTAAAATCATATATATGTAATACCTTGCTTGGTGACTTTGCCAGCTGGTTAGCGGCAAAGGTGGAAAAAGAACCTGTGCATCTCACATCCTAGTGCAGGGCTTTTCCACCTAATTTCCTTGTCTTCTCATGTTCAGGAAAGTCCCAGAGTGAAGTTACTACTTTAAAAAGAAATGTGTAGTTTGGCAGTTCCTCAGAAGGTCAAACACCAGACTGCCATATGGCTCTGTGATTCTACTCCTAGGTCTGTGCCCCGAAGGACTGAAAGCAGGCACCACGCGAGTTCACACGCACACCTGCTCCTAGCAGCAGAGTCGCAAGAGCCAGAGGCGGAGACAGCCCCAGCACCCATCACGGAGGAAGAGGGTGGTGGTGGGGTGGGGGGGGGGGGGGTGAGCATTTCTGCGCATGCGCAGAACAGTACGCCGCCGTAGAAAGGAGGAACGCCATGGATGTACAGAGGCAGTCTAAAGCCTGAAGCTTCCAGACCCCTATTTCTACAAGTTTCTGTCTCCTGCCCCAAGTGCAACAGGAAATGGTATAGACTGTCTGGCAGGCACAGTATGTATAACCACAAAACGTTACTGTGAACTTCCGCTCTGTAACTAAAACTCCCCCTAACCGCAAGATGCAACAACTCCTGCACTTGCTGTGCCTGGACCCCCTACCCTCCCAAACTCCAGAGGCTGACAGCACCTGCTACACTTTGTCTCTGTAAAATGCTTCTGCAAAATTTCACTCTTGCCCTCCCCAACTAAAACAGAGATATAAAACTCCTACTTTGCTGCGACGCAGGGCCCAGAATTCGGAGAACCTATCTCCTCTGGGTCAGAGCCAGCTTAATAAAAAGTTTGGTTTTCTCCATCTCTTCAAGCGCCTGCTGGGTTTCTTGTGTCACTGGAGGCCTGCAACTCTCGAAACAGATGAATCCCCAAAACTTGCTCAGGGAAAGAAATTATATGCCAAAAGCCACATATGAAATGACTCCTTACATAAATTTCATATAAGAAGTATGCAGAATAGGTAAGTACACACAGACAGAACAGCAACTGGAGTTGATCAGAGGCAGAGGGGGATGGGAAGTGACTGCCTATTGGGTATGGGTTTGCTGGAAATGGTGAAAATATTTTAGAAATAGAGATGGCAGTGGCACACTTTTCTTTCTTTTTTTTTTTTTTTGTACCAGGGATTGAACCTAGGGCCTTCTCACTGAGCTACATCCCCAGTCCTTTTTAAAAATTTATTTTGAGACCTAAGTTGGTAAGTTGCCCAGTTGCCCAGGCTGGGCTTGAACTTGTGACCCTCATGCTTCAGCCTCCGAGTACTGGGATTATAAGTATGTGTCACCATACCTGGGAGTACACACACTGAATGTACTAAATGTCACTGAATTCTGCACATTAAAAGGGCTTATTTTATGCGAGTTGCACCTCAATAAAAAAAAAAAGGCTTCGTGTTGGCCTCTATTGTGAGCTCAAGATGACAGGGAGAGGGTGAGGAAGACAGGTTATGTGATTCCAGGCCTGGGGGCTCCCAGCAGGGAAGGTCCATGGCTTGCAACCTCCCTGGCAGATGAGGGAGTTTCCACCTAAGACATGGGAAGGAGAGGTGTGGGGGTCTAATTCTGAGCTTAGAGGACCCGCTGCAGAGAGAAGGCAGTAATGCCAGCCTGAGGGTCCCCCGATCAGCACGGCTTGCACTCTGAAAGCAGAAAGAGGTGAGGCCAAGGCTCCTGACCACCAGCAATTAAGTCTCCAGGTCCAGCACAGCCTCAAAAGAATGACCTTGCCCGGGGTGCAGTCACGCGTCTCCCAGACTCCTTGCCAGCCCCTCCAGCAGCAGAGGTTAGGGTTAGGCTGGAGAGGGGCAGCACCCGGTGACAGCTCGGGGAGGATGAAGAGCCCACATACTACAGGGAAGAGGGGCACAGGGCTCACAGGGCCCGCACAGCAGACTTCAAACGCTCGGAGAGGGGGCAGGATTCTTTTCTTGTTTAGCTTTTCAAAGGCCACACTAGGACGAAGCAGGAGAAAGTTCCAGACAAGAAGTACTTTCTAAGGCATGGGAGAATGGATCCGACGGATGCAGCCGCCGCACCACACACCGCCTCATCTGCACACATGACAGGTGAGTGTGTTTGAGGGATCTTTTAATAGCTGATCAAACAGGTAAGAGGTGGGTGGCAAGGCCATACAATACCTTGCAGGGAGCCCATTGCAGGAGGCAGCGAGAGTTAAAGAACAAAAAT